CTTATACCCTAAATCTGTCTGGTAGAGATCTCCTTATACCTAAATCTGTCTGGTACAGATCTCTTATACCTAAATCTGTCTGGTAGAGATCTCCTTATACCTAAATCTGTCTGGTACCTAAATCTGTCTGGTACAGATCTCCTTATACCTAAATCTGTCTGGTACAGATCTCCTTATACCTAAATCTGTCTGGTACAGATCTCCTTATACCTAAATCTGTCTGGTACCAGATCTGTCTGGTACCTTATACCTAAATCTGTCTGGTACAGATCTCCTTATACCTAAATCTGTCTGGTAGAGATCTCCTTATACCTAAATCTGTCTGGTACAGATCTCCTTATACCTAAATCTGTCTGGTACAGATCTCCTTATACCTAAATCTGTCTGGTAGAGATCTCCTTACCCCTAAATCTGTCTGGTACAGATCTCCTTACCCCTAAATCTGTCTGGTACAGATCTCCTTATACCTAAAAATACCTAAATCTGTCTGGTACAGATCTCCTTATACCTAAATCTGTCTGGTACAGATCTCCTTATACCTAAATCTGTCTGGTACAGATCTCCTTATACCTAAATCTGTCTGGTACAGATCTCCTTATACCTAAATCTGTCTGGTACAGATCTCCTTATACCTAAATCTAAATCTGTACCTGGTACAGATCTCCTTATACCTGTCTGGTGAGACCTAAATCTGTCTGGTAGATCTCCTTATCTCCTTATAAATCTCTGATCTGTCTGGTAGATCTCCTTATACCTAAATCTGTCTGGTAGAGATCTCCTTATACCTAAATCTGTCTGGTACAGATCTCCTTATACCTAAATCTGTCTGGTAGAGATCTCCTTATACCTAAATCTGTCTGGTAGATCTCCTTACCCCTCTGTCTGGTGAGATCTCCTTACCCTAAATCTGTCTGGTACAGATCTCCTTATACCTAAATCTGTCTGGTACAGATCTCCTTATACCTAAATCTCTGGTCTGGATCTCCTTATACCTAGATCTCCAGATCTCCTTATACCTAAATCTGTCTGGTATACAGAGATCTCCTTATACCTAAATCTGTCTGGTACAGATCTCCTTATACCTAAATCTGTCTGGTAGAGATCTCCTTATACCTAAATCTGTCTGGTAGAGATCTCCTTATAACCCCTAAATCTGTCTGGGTGAGATCTCCTTACCCCTAAATCTGTCTGGTACAGATCTCCTTATACCTAAATCTGTCTGGTAGAGATCTCCTTATACCTAAATCTGTCTGGTACAGATCTCCTTATACCTAAATCTGTCTGGTACAGATCTCCTTATACCTAAATCTGTCTGGTAGAGATCTCCTTATACCTAAGTCTGTCTGGTAGAGATCTCCTTATACCTAAATCTGTCTGGTAGAGATCTCCTTATCCCCTCCTAGAGATCTCCTTATACCTAAATCTGATCTCCTTACCCTAAATCTGTCTGGTAGATCTCCTTATACCTAAATCCTAAATCTGTAAATCTGTCTAGAGATCTCCTTACCCCCTAAATCTGTCTGGTAGAGATCTCCTTATAGTCCTGTCTGGTAGAGATCTCCTTATACCCTAAATCTGTCTGGTAGAGATCTCCTTATACCTAAATCTGTCTGGTAGAGATCTCCTTATACCTAAATCTGTCTGGTAGAGATCTCCTTATATCTGTCTGGTACAGATCTCCTATACCTAAATCTGTCTGTCTGGTAGAGATCTCCTTATACCTAAATCTGTCTGGTACAGATCTCCTTACCCCCCTAAATCTGTCTGGTAGAGATCCTTTATACCTAAATCTGTCTGGTAGAGATCTATACCTAAATCTGTCTGGTGGAGATCTCCTTATACCTAAGTCTGTCTGGTAGAGATCTCTGGTCTGAGATCTCTCTAAGTCTGTTACAGATCTCCTTACCCCTAAATCTGTCTGGTAGAGATCTCCTTATACCTAAATCTGTCTGGTAGAGATCTCCTTATACCTAAATCTGTCTGGTAGAGATCTCCTTATACCTAAAGTCTGTCTGGTAGAGATCTCCTTATACCTAAATCTGTCTGGTAGAGATCTCCTTATACCCCTAAATCTGTCTGGTAGAGATCTCCTACCTAAATCTGTCTGGTAGAGATCTCCTTACCCCTAAATCTGTCTGGTAGAGATCTCCTTATACCTAAGTCTGTCTGGTAGAGATCTCCTTATACCTAAGTCTGTCTGGTAGAGATCTGTCTCACGCCAATAGCCATACATACTAACGGAGAAAAGTAACTGTGCATGACATAAACTTGCCTAAAATAAAAGTTCTAAAAAGAACCCTAAATAAACATGTAGCAAAGCACTTTTCATGAAATTTGATGTCACGTATATGTCCTTTAATTGTAAATACAAATGATGATTATGATATCACTAAATCAGTTACCAGATGAACCTTCTCTAAACATGGACTGGTCTTCCCAATTATTTTAGCCTAACATTTCCACAGCTTCACATCTTAGTTTGAAATAGGCTGGCGCTTAACTTTATATTTATGATATATATATACACACATAACTCGTGCAGGCCTTCCTTTAGTTACAAAACTATAGAGATTAAGAGTGAGTGAGTTGGGCTTTACGCCGCTTTTGGCATTATCACGTCAGTGGCAACAGGTATGGGCTTCATACATTGTACCGGGCAATTGAACCCGATCGTTGGCGTAACGAGCGAATTTTTTAACCACTAATCTACTGCACCGCCTATTAAAGATTTCTGTACCTTTCAGAACATTCAAGGTTCAGTGGTTTATTGGTTGTAACCATAGATGATTGAGCCTCAGTTACATGACTCAATCACTTAAGTTGGTATATTGCGTAACTGGCCATTACCTCACAATGGACTGAGCATGTACATGCCGACGTGAAGCTGAAACTCTCAGCACTGTGTTTCTGCACTCGGGTCACCCTTTACGTCAGCCCGGCTTGGTAGAATTGCGTAAGGGGTCATTGGCTCACAGATGGAGAGTGTTTCGTATGTGAAACATAAATAAAATCAAGGTTTGTATGTTTGGGTTTTTCTAACTCCACACTCAGCAATATTCCAGTGTGGTGGTGGTCTGTAAATAATCACGTCTGGACCAAACATTCCAGTGATCAACAGCATGGCAATCGATCTGCACAATTGGGATACGATGATATATGTCACCCAAGTCAGCCAGCCTGACCACCTGATCCCGTTATTCACCTCTTACGACAAGCGTGGGTTGCTGAAGACTAATTCTGACCCAGATCTTCACGGGTTCATAAATCACAGGTATAGTGTGGTCACTTATAATGCCTTACCTACATTGAACTTACCCTGGGGATATTCCTGTAAGTTTACAGTCATAACTTAAATAAGATATATTTCCTAACAGAAGGTTGATCTAAAACAACGTACATGTGGAATGCTGCCTGGCCCGCCCTCGCCGGCGACAGCCGACCTCAGCCAACAAAACAATAATTTCTTCTGAATGTGTTTCTGTTCATGTAACATTCTGTTCAAATAAGGGACCGTTCATAATTTATGGCTAGGGGGTGGTGATAATGATTTTTTGGGAGAAGCATGTACAATGTGAGTCCCCCCCCCTAAAATTTATGTGCAAATTAAGTGACCCTCCCCACCGCATGTCATGTACAAAATCAATCACCCCCCCCTTCCCATATTTGTAAGCATATTATTTAAATATTTATAATGTACAAAATTGATGCCCCCAAGTACATCTGTACAAATTGATGAACCCCCTACCTCCCCAGAACAAAATGGGTCACCCCTCCTCAAAATCGTCATCTCCCCCCTCTAAACACCCACCCCACCACCCCCAAAGCTATAAATTATGAACGGTCCCTAACATTGTTTGTCGTTGTGTGACAGGATGATATAGGATGACGTAATATTATTTCCACTGCCATCATTCTCTTGAAATGTTGACTTCATTATGGTGAGCAACCCAGGTACCACACTACTGAGCCCTAAATATCCTCTAAATAGACCCCGAATCCTGTTAGTTAGGTTAGTTACTGATAATAAGGAAATAGGCATCCCCTCATTACTTGTTAAAACATCAGTGTGTTTCCCCAGACTAGCGCTTAGTCCCTGAATATCCATAATTGTGATAGTAACAAATAAACCCATTTAAATTGAAAAGGAGCCCTAGTGCCTGAACCTGGGGAAATCTAGACTTGCTTCATTTAGGGCTTTAGCATTGAGGGAGGGCTAGGCATCAGGGGCAAAAATGTGGTTCAGGGACTGTAAGACAGACTAAGTATTTCCCTAACGGCTCAAGGTAATAGGGAGATTCCTTTCAGACATGTGGGCAAGTGTTTGGGGATATAGTAATAAATACTTGTCATCTGAAGTTCGCTTAAGGCGCTCTTAATACTCATTTAAATTGAAAAGGAGCCCCAGGGAGACCCAATAGCACTCCAGGTACATACATTTCTGGCCGTCTTAAACAATTGTTCGAAACATATATATTTTTGGCTTAATTGGTAGGTGTTCAGTTCTAGTATTTTTAAACACTTTTGTTATAAAGTTTACCTCAGTTATGTAGCACTATAATATTCACATTTAGTGTGGAAGTACAGTACATGTACAGTGTTCAACAGTTTGTAAAGGGTGTAGGTGTGAACACGGCAATGAAATGAAAACAATATTTTCATATTTTTTTAAACACATTTTTTCGGAAAAGTAATGATTGTGCATTTGTTTGCGATGTTTACACATGATATTGTGTAAATGTCTTGCATCAAAGTTATCTTGAACAATGTTCGTCCAGCTTGAGCGCTCTCCCACCCTGACCCCAACCCCCACACAGGTTAAAAATAGCCTCTTGGTCGGTCCCGTCTACTAATAGAGTGCAAGTGTACCCACAGCGCAAAGACCAGTCTTGTGTGACTGCCAGCTGAACCGTCAATAACAAACTTGATCACCCCGAATGTGGGCGAGGAGGAACAGAGCCGAGGATAGAAAGGTAGGCCAGTTGACTGTTTCAGAACTATATCTAACCAACGCCTTTCCAAAATAGTTGTCCACGCGAAGGCCATAAACACCTTTCCTTATTCAACAGTTTTACGGTTCGATCGCTGAGGCTGCTTCTGTGTACAGGTGTGTGGACGTTCCACTGAAACTATGTGAATCTTGAAACTTTGCCCTTGTATAGAACTTGAGAAACCTATTACTGTATGTAACCTGTGGGTAGTATTTACATTCTAAACGTCATTATCTTTTTGTGTCAAGTGTCAGTATCTCGAAATCAACATTGATGCAGATCGGGTGCAACTATGACGGGAATGCAGAGGAGGCAGGACAGATACCGTATTAAATGTAAACAATGTGTGTTGGTTTGTTATTATCCCCCAGCTGAACATGTTTTCACGTGGAAATAAACAGCCACATCATTCCATCTAACATGCACGTTTCGTTCCCAGAGAAGAACTCATAAACACTTCAACATATCATCTAAACATAATGTATACACCCCCAACCCCTATCCACATCCATGTATTTAACTGGTGCCTTTTCTACCTTTGTTGAATTTATTTATTTAATTATTTATTTACACATTTTACCTATGTAGGGATCGAACCCAGGTCTTCAGCGTGACGAGCGAACGCTTTAACCACAACTGTTGATGGAACTTTGCTAGGGCATTACTAAACCGTATTCACTCACTGATCAAGATGAACAGAATTCTAAGTAGCAAAGCTCAGGGGCTGAGAGTAGTATTTGCAGGATAGGATCATCTGGGAGGCAAGTATCTTGTGTTACGATTTTACTTATCGATGTCCACGAGTTTCATGCTTTAGTTTCAGGTCTGACACACAGTGGCACATGTTGATGTACTTGTACAACAGTACAAGATGGCTGGTAGCGGGAATCTGTGGATGTTTGCTGTCTGTGTAGTGGTTCTGCAGTCGGGCAGCGTTCAGGGAAAGACAACTACTGGTGTGTTACGTGTCTTGTTTCTGTAGGAAGACATTAACTATTAATTTGTGGCCTTGAAGTAGAGAAATGTGATGGTTGCTGTCTGTGTAGTGGTTAGTAGCTGTTTCTGGTGACTCCTTACTTGTATCATGTATCATGTACCATGTATCATGTTGCCCTTAGTATATGAAACAACTTGGATTCCTGCCTAAGTTACAATAAAGGGCGTAGAATGTGTGAGCCTTTTTCACAAACCTGTTGTTCGGTTTTTAATTACATTCAGCATTCTTAAATCAACGATAAAAGACCGCAAAATTGAATACAGAGTAGCTTTATCTTCTAAATGCAATCTAAAAATTCAGTATATTCAGTTTTCGTACCATCATTTTAGTAACCTTTTTAAACCTTTTCTAAGGGACCGTTCATAATTTATAGCTAGGGGGTGAGGTGATGATGATTTTTATGGAGAAAAAATTTATGTACAAAATAAGTGAACACACCCCCTGCATGTCATGTACAAAATCAATGAACCCCCCTTCCCTTCCCATAATTTCTAAGCATAATTTTTTTACCCCCCCCCCTTAGTAGTGCGTGTGTACAAAATTGATGACCCACCCTAGCTCCCCAGAACAAAATGGGTGAAAACAAACACCCCCACCTCTAACCCTTAAAATCATCATAATGAACGGTCCCTAAAATGTCTAGAAATCAAATCACTTTGTCAAAATCTATGCATTTCTTTGCTAGACGGCCACTATTTTCCCGAAAGTAAGTTCTCATGTAGTGAACCGAAACGGACCAAACCGTAGGCCTTGTACCACAATGGGTACTGTACCGTGGTAACAGCGTACCGTTTCACCCTATTTGTTAGTGGATAAGCCCAGAGTAGTTAATATCCTGGAATGGGGATATTATACCCTGTATTACACAGGATGCCTTGTTTCCTCCTAGTGTACATGGACTCGAAGGAATCCTGCAGCTACAAGGTGCACCTGAACGATGAGGACGTGTTCCACGTGGAGTATCTTGACCGCAGCAAGCCTGACAAGAATCTGACCGGTTACTTCCCATGTTTCCAAGCTTTCATATCAGGCTCTCAGGTCGTCTGTATCAACGAACATATTGTCCACTTCCACCGTTGTTCGCTGCGTCTTAAGTATTACACCTTCGATACCTCTCTGACGTATGTCCCTGTCACAACAGACTACACTGCAGACAGGGTAAGTATGGATAGAATGTATACTCAGTGTCACAAATTGTGCAACCATTGTCACTACAGACGAAGCGCCAGATTGTAGGTATGGATAGAATGTATACTCAAGCCAGATTGTAGGTATGGATAGAATGTATACTCAGTGTCACAAAGTTGTGCAACCATTGTCAGTGTACAGAACCATTGCCAGATTGTAGGTATGGATAGAATGTATACTCAGTGTCACAAGTTGTGCAACCAAGTTGTGCAACCATTGTCAGTACAGACGAAGCGCCAGATTGTAGGTATGGATAGAATGTATACTCAGTGTCACAAGTTGTGCAACCATTGTCAGTACAGACGAAGTGCCAGATTGTAGGTATGGATAGAATGTATACTCAGTGTCCAAAGTTGTGCAACCATTGTCACATTGTGCAACCATGGATAGAATGTATGCTCAGTAGGTATGGATAGAAGTATGCTCAGTTACACAAGTTGTGCAACCATTGTCAGATTGTAGGTATGGATAGAATGTATACTCAGTGTCACAAGTTGTGCAACCATTGTCACTACAGACTAAGCGCCAGATTGTAGGTATGGATAGAATGTATACTCAGTGTCACAAATTGTGCAACCATTGTCAGTACAGACGAAGTGCGTGATTGTAGGTATGGATGAATGTATACTCAGTGTAACCATGGATAGGTATGGATGTATACTCAGTGTCACAAGTTGTGCAACCATTGTCACTACAGACGAAGCGCCAGATTGTAGGTATGGATAGAATGTATACTCAGTGTCACAAGTTGTGCAACCATTGTCAGTACAGACTAAGTGCCAGATTGTAGGTATGGATAGAATGTATACTCAGTGTCACAAGTTGTGCAACCATTGTCAATACAGACTGAAGCGCCAGATTGTAGGTATGGATAGAATGTATACTCAGTGTCACAAGTTGTGCAACCATTGTCACTACAGACGAAGCGCCAGATTGTAGGTATGGATAGAATGTATACTCAGTGTCACAAGTTGTGCAACCATTGTCACTACAGACTAAGCGCCAGATTGTAGGTATGGATAGAATGTATACTCAGTGTCACAAGTTGTGCAACCATTGTCAGTACAGACGAAGCGCCAGATTGTAGGTATGGATAGAATGTATACTCAGTGTCACAAGTTGTGCAACCATTGTCACTACAGACTAAGTGCCAGAAGTGCCAGATTGTAGGTATGGATAGAATGTATACTCAGTGTCACAAGTTGTGCAACCATTGTCACTACAGCCGCAGACAGATTGTAGGTATGGATAGAATGTATACTCAGTGTCACAAGTTGTGCAACCATTGTGTGTAGGTATGGATAGAATGTATACTCAGTGTCACAAGTTGTGCAACCATTGTCACTACAGACGAAGTGCCAGATTGTAGGTATGGATAGAATGTATACTCAGTGTCACAAATTGTGCAACCATTGTCAGTACAGACTACACTGCAGACAGGGTAAGTATGGATAGAATGTATACTCAGTGTATGGATTTGTGCAACCATTGTATACAAAGTCAGGTATGGATAGAATGTATTCACAGTGTCATAAAATTGTGCAACCATTGTCAGTACAGACTACAAGCAGAGATTGTAGGCAACCATGGATAGAATGTATACTCAGTGTCACAAGTTGTGCAACCATTGTCAGTACAGACAATGTGCCAGATTGTAGGTATGGATAGAATGTATACTCAGTGTCATAAGTTGTGCAACCATTGTCACTACAGGACTAAGCCAGATTGTAGGTATGGATAGAATGTATACTCAGTGTTGTGCAAACCATTGTCAGGTATGGTACAGACTAAGTGCCAGATTGTAGGTATGGATAGAATGACAAGTTGTGCAACCATTGTCACTACAGAGAAGCCAGAGTCGATTGTAGGTATGGATAGAATGTATACTCAGTGTGACAATTGTGCAACCATTGTCAATACAGACTAAGCGCCAGATTGTAGGTATGGATAGAATGTATACTCAGTGTCACAAATTGTGCAACCATTGTCAGTACAGACGAAGTGCGTGATTGTAGGTATGGATAGAATGTATACTCAGTGTGACAAGTTGTGCAACCATTGTCAATACAGACTAAGAGCCAGATTGTAGGTATGGATAGAATGTATACTCAGTGTCACAAGTTGTGCAACTATTGTCAATACAGACGAAGCGCCAGATTGTAGGTATGGATAGCATGTATACTCAGTGTCACAAGTTGTGCTACCATTGTCAATACAGACGAAGCGCCAGATTGTAGGTATGGATAGAATGTATACTCAGTGTCATAAGTTATGCAACCCTTGTAACTGCTGTAGCAAAAACTTTGATGAAACCATTTCCTGTCTTCTGGATTTGTTTAATGTATGTGTTCTAGATCCTAGACTGTAACAATGTATGTGTTCTAGATCCTAGACTGTAACAATGTATGTGTTCTAGATCCTGGACTGTAACAATGTATGTGTTCTAGATCCTAGACTGTAACAATGTATGTGTTCTAGATCCTGGACTGTAACAATGTATGTGTTCTAGATCCTAGACTGTAACACAGACACAACTGAGTGGTGTTCGAGGGAGGCTACGAATGTGAAGATCGTTCTTGAGACCACCCAGCCAGATGCCAGTATACAGGATGTTAACTTCCTCATGGATGTCTCCAGAATTACCAGTCAGAACAGATTTGGTACAGCATTGTTCTCATTGTTGTCAACATGTTTGCTTGAAGTATTTTACATGGAAACATGTCAGAAATATCTGGTACTCATAATGATTTGGTCTTGTCTTGGACATTCTGTTGTTTCTGTAGATTCATGCTTAATCAAACAGCCATGAACATTAACATCATAACATGATTATATCTTTGTAATCAGCTTGTAGCCATGATGGCTGCTCCTCTCTCTCTCCCTCTTTGTCTCCCTCTCCCACTCCCTCTCCCTCTCTCTCTCCCTTTCTCTCTCTCTCTCTCTCTCTCTCTCTCTCTCTCTCTCTCTCTCTCTCTCTCTCTCTCTCTCTCTCTCTCTCTCCTCTCTCTCTCTCCTCTCTCCCTCCCCTCTCCTCTCTCTCTCTCTCTCTCCCTCCCTCTCTCTCTCTCTCTCTGTAACGAAATACAGGGTTACTGGAATAGATGAGGTTAAGTATTTTTAAAGATTATTGCAGTAGTTTAATAGCGTACACGTGTGTGTGCCCTCTCTCTCTCTCTCTCATAAACATTTGCAGCTTTCAGAAGAATAATTGTGGAAACATACTTTTGCAGTCTTCATGTTTAATAATTGTGGCACCAAGCACTACCTGAAGAACAGCCGGCTGCATGTGAAGCTACTCGATACCGATGATGCCACCAGCTGTGTTAAAACATTCGGATATCGTGACGTGGACGACAGCACAAAGGCCGAGATCTGTGTGACGTTTGAGGAGTGGCCCAGGGAGAACTCATGCTCATCATTCGAACTGTTTATGTACCATGGGTCTCCTGATGGAGGGGATCTCATAAAGGTAATGCATTGGGTGCTGGTCTTAGGGCAGTTTACTCAAGGTCAACAGAGCTTATGTTGTGGCATGTTTGACCACCCTTTTTGGTCGACTGGCATCAATTAATGATGCTGTGATATAAAGATATGTATGTCCCAGGGACAGATGATATAGATATGTATGTCCCAGGGACAGTTGATATAGGTATGTATGTCCCAGGGACAGATGATATAGGTATGTATGTCCCAGGGACAGTTGATATAGGTATGTATGTCCCAGGGACAGATGATATAGATATGTATGTCCCAGGGACAGTTGATATAGGTATGTATGTCCCAGGGACAGATGATATAGATATGTATGTCCCAGGGACAGATGATATAGGTATATATGTCCCAGGGACAGATGATATAGGTATGCATGTCCCAGGGACAGATGATATAGGTATGAATGTCCCAGGGACAGTTGATATAGGTATATATGTCCCAGGGACAGATGATATAGATATGTATGTCCCAGGGACAGATGATATAGGTATGAATGTCCCAAGGACAGTTGATATAGGTATATATGTCCCAGGGACAGATGATATAGGTATGAATGTCCCAGGGACAGATGATATAGGTATGAATGTCCCAGGGACAGATGATATAGGTATGAATGTCCCAGGGACAGATGATAAAGGTATGAATGTCCCAGGGACAGATGATATAGGTATGAATGTCCCAGGGACGGATGATATAGATATGAATGTCCCAGGGACGGATGATATAGATATGAATGTCCCAGGGACAGATGATATAGATATGAATGTCCCAGGGACAGATGATATAGGTATGAATGCCCCAGGGACAGATGATATAGGTATGAATGTCCCAGGGACAGATGATATAGGTATGTATGTCCCAGGGACGGATGATATAGGTATGTACGTCCCAGGGACAGATGATATAGGTATGAATGTCCCAGGGACAGATGATATAGGTATGAATGTCCCAGGGACGGATGATATAGGTATGTATGTCCCAGGGACAGTTGATATAGGTATATATGTCCCAGGGACAGATGATATAGATATGTATGTCCCAGGGACAGATGATATAGGTATGAATGTCCCAAGGACAGTTGATATAGGTATATATGTCCCAGGGACAGATGATATAGATATGAATGTCCCAGGGACAGATGATATAGGTATGTATGTCCCAGGGACAGATGATATAGGTATGAATGTCCCAGGGACAGATGATATAGGTATGAATGTCCCAGGGACGGATGATATAGGTATGTATGTCCCAGGGACGGATGATATAGGTATGTATGTCCCAGGGACGGATGATATAGGTGTGTTTGTCCCAGGGACAGATGATATAGATATGTATGTCCCAGGGACAGATGATATAGATATGTATGTCCCAGGGACAGATGATATTGGTACACATGTCCACAGATGATATAGGTATGAATGCCCAGGGAAGGGACTGAGTCGGATGTGTATCTGTTGTAGAGTGTGAAATGTTCTGAGGCATCTCCAAAAGATTTCTGTACTGATGGAGAGGAGATATCCTTCAAGGCTATCCGAACAGGCTCAGTGGACACTAAAAAGTATGACTTCCACCTCAAGATATGGGACAATCATGACCTCAGTGAAGGTGGTAAGTTCACAGTCACCAGGAGCATGCACAACTTGATGGGAAGATCATTATCTTATATAGGAATGCACATGCAGAGCTGAACCTGACTGATATAGACCCTGACTGATCCTGACCCTGACCGATCCTGACTGTTGCCCTGACCCTGACTGATCCTGACTCTTGCTCGACCCTGACTGATCCTGACTCTTGCCCTGAACCTGACTGATCCTGACTCTTGCCCTGAACCTGACTGATCCTGACTCTTGCCCTAAACCTGACTGATTCTGACTCTTGCCCGACCCTGACTGATCCTGACTCCTGCCTGACCCTGACTGATCCTGACTCTTGCCCTGAACCTGACTGATCCTGACTCTTGCTCGACCCTGACTGATCCTGACTCTTGCCCTGAACCTGACTGATCCTGACTCTTGGCTTGAACCTGACTGATCCTGACTCTTGCCCTGAACCTGACTGAACCTGACTCTTGCCCTGAACCTGACTGATCCTGACTCTTGCCCTGAACCTGACTGATCCTGACTCTTGCCCTAAACCTGACTGATTCTGACTCTTGCCCGACCCTGACTGATCCTGACTCTTGCCTCGACCCTGACTGATCCTGACTCTTGCCCTGAACATGACTGAACCTGACTCTTGCCCGACCCTGACTGATCCTGACGCTTGCCCGACCCTGACTGATACTGATCCTGGACAAGTAAGTGTCTTTCAGCCTATTCTGACCATGTAGCACTTGTGCCTGGGGTTGTTTCTTGGTTTGGTTTCACCACCAACATACAAAACCATCAGGCTTTCCACAAGTCATACAGAAACATTGTTCAAACTGTAGTTATACATGCACACACATGGTGATAAGTCACAAAACTTGAACATGTTCTCAAGTTTGTCTCACAGTGTGGAATCCCAGTGTATTTATTCTTCCATTGTTTGTTTCAGGTTCAGGTCTGACCGCAGGAAACATCGCGTTGATTGTTTTAGGTGTCATTATAGTCCTTGTCCTCGTAGGTATCATCATCATGTGCAGGTATGGTAAGTGTAAGGGGGGCGGGGGAGGTACGAGGTCTTGGTCCATGCCGTCACTCCCTAGTTTTGATGATGACGAATAGATATGACGTCACCTGTGATGACTAGCAATGGCGTGACCATGACCTTGCTCCCCAGGTGCATCGATAATAAGCTGCGTCATTTCAAGGATTAGAACTCAGCAGAGGCCAGAACAATGTTGATTGGTTAGATTAATGTGTGGATTGAATGTCAACAATGCGTAGACATTTAGTGTATTGAATGACAATATATGCTAGATCAGCATGGTCAGTGGATGTCAATAACTGTAAAATTTGTATGTGAAACAGATTACAAGAGTGAAATATTGACTGGACCACAGGGCTTGTAGTGCTAAAAACTGACATCAAGGTATAAAGTGAGTGAGTGAGTGAGTGAGTTTAGTTTGAAGCCACACCAAGGTATGAAAACCCTGTTAGTGACAGTATATACCTTGATGGCAGTTTTTAGCACTACAAGGCCCTGTGGCCTGGATGACTTTTGTCACCATATCAGTCTGCAGATATTATTTGTACCAATTGCTTCAAGATTTTGAAACTTTTATCATTGTTATATACATGTACTTTGATAGTTTTATTGTTGGTTGTTTACATTATGCCCTGCTCATAATATATGCCAATATTCTTATACATTTGCATTTACATTATATTTATGAAACCTGTCCACACATGTACAGCCTGTGATTATGTACTACTCACATTTCTGCTCATGTGTACATTAACCGACATATTACCTCTCGAGAAGCCTGTTTTATCATGACAGAAGTATGAGAAATTTACATTTTTGGCCAATAAAAACATAAGGATTTTATTTTTTGAGCGGGGAAAATTATTTTTTTAATTTTTCTTATTCTTGAAAAAATATGACCGGCGGATCCGTAAAACAAGAAATAAAATTGGTCTGGCCTTACTTAATAATTTGTATTACATATACTGATGCAAAAAAAAGTACTTCTGTGTATGGTATGGTCATAGTACAGTGAATGAGTTTTGTTTTTAGCAATATTCCAGCAATATCTCGGCAGGGGACACCAGAAATGGGCTTCACACTCTCAGGCAGTGATATAGCAGTATCAGGTGAATTGACTGCTATGAGAATGATGGTTATTGTCCTAGCTAACAAATATACATTGCAAGGTGCACTTGTTCTTCTTCATAGTTTTTCCATCAGTATTTATATTTATGAAATGTATACATATATTATTATATATATACATTGTATTATTGTATATTTGGACATTTAGAAGTTTTCTACTTTACTTACTTTGATCTTTACAATGTTGTGGTCTTGTTGTTAAGGAGTTAGTACAGAGATCTTTTACACCGGTATGCTCCTGTCATTGTGAAGATTTGAGGACTCATCACAGGTCATTTCTGGTAAACTCTCTAATCAGCCAACCAGCATCAAAGCTTCTGAAGTCTCTTTAAATGAGCGCACCATTCTGATCTGATTTCTGAATCTCAAACAATAACTCAACTAGATGATTCTGAATGAAAACAATATATGCCTGATATGTTATATTTGGGATTACACTTTCTTAGTAAAGTACAGATTGGAAGTTGTGGTGGCTCAGCGGTCTAGGCGTCTGACTTTGTCTGCTGGCGATTTGGTGCCTGACTCGGAGGGTGTGGGTTCGAATCCAGGATGGGAATCCACACAACAAAAGTACTAGGATCTGTGCTTTACTAAGAAAGTGTAATCCCAAATATAACATATGTTTCATTTGACCACTTTCTAAAATGGCATTGTGTAATAATATATGCCTGTCTGTTTTGGTGGTGTGGATATTTTATGCTATCAGATCAGATCGCCATGCCACCTGCTCCTGCAGTCTACCATCGAGGCTATTCCTATGGCCAGTGTGGATGTTCCTTAGTCTAAATTGAAACTTCTGAATGAAACAAAACCAAACTGCTTAAGAAAGCTGACATCTGATTGGCTCAATATTTCATACACCCATGTAGACTGTGTGGTCAAACTTCTCAGATCTTCACGCACAGGAATATAATGAATGCTGGTAATGAGATTGTAGGACTCGAATGTTGTGAAAACAGAGACTATGAGGCCTTAACAATTGTGGCCTTAATGTTAAATGTTCACATACACCATCATTGCTGTAATATGCACCCTGGGCACGTAGGATCTTGGTAAAGGATGGCCATTATGACAAGTTGGATCATGAGCGTAGTTCAGGTAGGAATGAAACCACATAGATTCTCACTTGACAATCAAATACCCCTTCTGTATTGTTTTCTGGACGAAATGTGTAATAAACATGCACATATATAGACTGTGATACTCATTTCAGAACAATATATGAGGGTTCTTACAATGTTCACTTTCAGATTGATCTACAAGTTGTTCTGGAGAAAATCTTGATATGTTCCAATGGTACCAATTTGTCTGTGATGTTGTCACCATGACAACAGTTAATGCAATAAATTTGATTTTTCCCATATGTTTGGTTTGGTTTGTTGTTTTACGCTTCACTCAGAAATATTCCAGCTATATGTCCGCGGTCTGTAAATAATCAAGTCAGACAATCCAGTGATCAACAGCATGAGCATCAATCTACACAACTGGGATACGATGACATTTGTCAACCAAGTTAGCGTGCGCAAAGGGAGCCGGGAACCAGCTTAAGTAACTCTGAGCATGTTTCCCGCATTGGGAGTGAAGTGCTTTAGTTTCTGTATTTGCTGTTTTGGCTCCACTTGTGCCAACACAATAACTTAGTTACTTCCCTTCACATTGCCTCCATCCATCGATAATAATGTATCGAACCTGATATTTATCATTATTTTTAACCTAATGTCTGAAACCAGATTTCAAATTCCCAGTTCTGTCGAACTCATTTTAGGGTCCCCAAAAGCCCTAATAAGTACAAATTTACCCTTTTGTCTCGAACTGTCCAAGTTGGTTCTTGCAACTGAGAACTTCATTTGCGCAATCAAAAGTCATGCTCATAAAACGTGCTACGAAAAGATCAAAGTTGAGGATTAACTGATTCAACAATCAAGTGGCATGTTTAACTACACATCTATACACACATTGCCATCACACTTGCCAATTGATTTATTATGGACACAGTTAACCTTAGTTAACTTGTTACCAGTGACACACTGATCACAGATTTGACAGGAACTCTCTAAACAAACAATGGTGCATGCTGTTGTAATAGAGCGGTCAACTAAATGGGATCGCTGATGAATTTGTTAAATTAAATGTATTCTTATCATTTTGTGGCATATTTATTTGTCATGATGAATAAAGTGATTGAAATAATTTCGATTTTTATATATTTTTAATTTAATGATCTGCACTGCAGTAAACGTTTATTGCCAAGACGTATTGTTCGTATGTATAGCCTACAGTAGAAAAATGATGTTGCACTTTGGTCGTGTCGGTCCTTGGTCATGGCTATGCTGACTGATGTGTCAAACACTTGGATCAGTCGAACTTTTCCCTTGGTCCCGACGAGTTCGACAGGTTTGACTGTATTTGAAAGTGAACTGTAAATAATCAAGTCTAAATGAGACAAACCAGTGACTGTGACCAATGATCCCAGTGTAAGTATGACAATCTACCAAGTCACGAAGACCACCAACCAGATCCATGGAGTCGCCCGACACAAGGGATCCTTGCCTCTGAACTGAGATCTATTTGTCTGCCAAAGCAACATTAACATTTCATCTTCATGATCATCCTTCCATCTTCAGAAACAACAAAAACACAATCTTTCTTTCTGACTTTATCATTGTTTCAAGTAACAGTTACCAGCATCTGGTTACCATGGTTACCGGGGTAAGAATAACAGAACATTGACTATTTCTTCCCCTGTCATTCTCACACACCTGAAGACATAGACACGTATAATACAATGTTGATAAAACACACACTATTCTAGGATCAGTCATACTAGTAGCATCACATGAGATTGTGTCTTCTTGTAACGGCAGACATCTTGGAGAACAGTTCTGCTCGTAACATCCAACATTTTAGGAGTTTGTATTTCTTCTTGTGAAGACCAACATCTTCAAGTACATGAACACCAAGTTGAGCACTGACAAGCAGATGATGTCATAGTACTTCACATCAGAAGCATGGATAAATAAAGTCAAACGACCTTATAATATAAACATGAATGTTTGGAGACCTTGGGTCTGATATATTGTAATAGGGAGATATAGGGCTATAAGGGTTAAGAGGTAGGGCGACACTTAGGGTGGGAGGGGGAAGGTTAGCTGGGATAACCCTCTGTCCTGAAAAAAAACCAAACCTCCAAATATGTTGCTTATTGATTACATGACATACAAAGTATGGCAAAGTACATTGTTTTTTAGTTTATTATCAGAAAGAAAGACCCAATAATCTGTCTCACAGTTCCTGAACCATATTACTTTCATATTACAGCCAAGCCCTCCCCGCAATGCTAAAGCCCTAAATTAGGCTAGATTTCCCCAGTTCAGGTCTGAATCTCTGGTCTCCCTGGGACTCTTTTTCAATTTAAATGGGTTTGTTTGTTACAATCAAAATTATACATATATATTCAGAGACTAAGCATTAGTCTAAAAGACCCAACAATGTTGATGATCTTTGACAAGTCGAACTTGAGTACCAATATGTGTAATGAACTGATTGTTCAATCCATCCCTTCACATACACCTTTAAACAAAATATGAGGGAAAATATACCTCCAAAGTAATTTTTTGAATGTCATAAAAAATTTTATTCTTATTTGCCCCTTCCTTAAGACATCTTTCATCCTTGACTCACGTCAACAAAATACCAGACATTTATGATCATGTTTTTCTTCTTTGCGAAAACTTATCTGAATATGTTGCCAAGAAAGCAGTGTTTGTTAAGCTTGTCTTGTCCTTGTAGTTTCACCTGTTGTGTGTGGTGTTCAAGCACATGGTGACGACCGCACCTGGCAGTAGCAAACAGTTGTGCTTTCAGAGTTTGATTCTTTTATACTATTCACACTTTTAGCGTCTAGGAAACCGGTAGTGAATGCATTTTATAGTTTCGTCTAAAGTACCTGATTGATTTTATGTTGTATGGGACATAAAGCACACAGAGATCTCACAGAAGTCGTGTAAACAAAGTGTCTTATACTCAGGTCAGGGTTTGATCTGTATATGTGAAACATGGTCAAAAATAAATTGTTACTATGGCAACTTATGATTAAACTTGATACCAGTCTTAATCCAAACAGGCATTCTTCAATTAAGGGCAAATGTAATTAATGAAGTAATTACTACAGTTCTGTATTCTGATTAATTTCGCATTAATATAAAAATCAGCTGCCTCAAGAACTAACATTAAAATATTATAGAAACACAACTACTCCCAAAAATAGCTCAACAGTTGGTTTTGTTCATATCAAAAATACTCTAACAAAACTAAAAGCCTAAAAACATCACAACACAAAGTCAAAACACAGGCATAAAATCAAATACATAAAAGAAACTGTACAAAAAAAAACAGGTTCATAACCAATACAACTCGGGACTTCCTGGCATTTAAAAAATCATAAATCTTGTAGCCTCCATCTTAGACCGGCACTGCTTGAAAATATCCATTCAACTCTGAATGTAACACTCTCCATCACCCTGAACTTTGGTTTAGAAAACAAAATACACTGATGGTACTAATGACTGACAATTTAACTACACATGTAGTTTGGATTGTTGTCATTAATGGTTTTCTGTCACTGGTTTCAGACATTCTACATAATTTGCATCTGAAACAGTCTTGTGTCATCAACTAATGCTTCTCCAGGACATCCACATTGTAAAATGGTCGAATTATCATTTTGAAGTAGTTTGTGTAACATATATTCAGATATTAAATATCCTTTAGATTCCACCTGTGTCTATCAGAATTTGAAATGGTTGGTCCCTGAGACAATCTTTCTTGATTATGTTTAGAACGTCTACATAAACAGCAGCACTTGTAGTGAGTGAGTTAAGATTTTAGTAACATCGGCAGTATTTCAGCCATATCGTGACAATCAGCACCTGTAAGTCTGGACAACACATTGTGGCCCAAGAACCCTGATTATGTATTAACCCTTAGTGAATCAGTCAGTATTACTGGTCCCCCAGCCCTCAACAAGGTCACATTTCAGTTGGTGATTGGTGGAAACCATAGAATGGAGTCCCCATGATGACCATCTCTAGGATGGACCACAATGTTTTCACTTTCCACATACACTGTACTAGTGGTTTGTTACTTGTTAATAGGGGAGATGTTTGTTGTTTAAAGCCATACACGGCAATATTACAGCTATATAACACTAGACTAAATAATCTGGACCAGCCATTCCTGTGACTGACCTCATGAGCACTGATCAAAACTGTCCGGCTCGATGACTGGTTTTCAACCTACTCTGCAAGCATGATCAACTGATCAAACTTTGCTCCTCACATTATTATAGCCTAGGGGGCCAGTTCTATCAAGTAATCCCATTTGGGAATTTAAACACATATGGTTTTTAGTATTCAGAGACTCATGGACTGACATAAATCTTACCTTTATGCGAGAATTATTATGCATTGGTGAAGTGAACAAAATATTGACATATCTGAAACAATTTACATAACCAAAACAGAAAACATAACTGTAGTTGTTGGCTTCACAAATAAACATTACCAAGCCCTTTTTAAATAAATGTAATTTACCATAAATCTCACGTATAATCTATTTATGAAATATTCCATGTTGAAGACACAAACATCCCAAACAACAATGGCCAGGTAGTAAACAGATGTTTATAAAGACTACTTGAAGACAGGTGGAAAGGTTAGAGGGTGTATTTGGGTGAGGGCACCTAATAAGGCAAATAGGGTAAAACTTATAACAGATCTGTTGGTCAGTCAACATAACTCTTGAAACATCTTTGTCTGATCCACATGATCCTTTCAACAGATCTCTTGCTCAACCACCATTCTGGGGCATTCCGTTTTCTTCTGACATAAACCAATAATCAAAATTACCTGCCTTGGTGAAACTTGAAATTATATTCAGTCTTTCCTCCCTCAAATGTTTGAGAAACACAAAATGATCAACAAACATTATTACTATATTCATGAAGCCATCACGAAACACACTTTACATCTCTTTGAAAGAGACTCACAACATACATATTGTCCACAATAACATAATGATAAACCCAGGTGACGTCTTCACTCGTATCAGTGATAATCCAGCACAAAAATATCTCCACACTATTGAGATAAATACTCTTGACCTGTCCACTACCGTAGCCCATTTAAAATATGCATAGCTAAAAATAGCCATCCAATCAAATTATTCACATGAGTGTGAGAAACAGATAAGTTACTTATTAAACGGTCCATGTGTGAAATACGTATATCATGAGATCAAATAGTGATGTCACTTCCTCAACAAAGCTATCATATGATCGGGTCGGGGGTATTTATCATAACAGGAAGTAGACATTTGATCGGGTTAGGGGTATTTATCATAACAGGAAGTAGACATTATACGCTGGATAATCGAGGCTGTTTCTTGCATACCTTTGGCAAGCCAGTTAGCTTCAAACACATGTAGAACACAACTGATTGGATAATATACTTGCTAGCAGTGGAAAGGCAGGAAGCAGGGTTGGTCAAATCAATTGCACTTGCATATCACAGCAGTAAAGGGTATATGGTACAACGTGTATCATATGTGTCGCCACAGTCACATAGTGCATGTTTCTGATTGGCTGACAACACAGTAACTGCAAATAGTGAACCATGACACACAGTGAAAGCTGTTAACTCAAAGTTATGGAGCAAGCGAGTGTATGTTGTTTAGCACCGGCTAAATCAGAGTAAATCAAGTTTGAACCAGACAAACCTGTGACTGAAATATGAGCAATGAAACCCTAATCTCTGTATTTACCGGTAACAGCTCTTGCAACAATTAAGGGGAGAGAGGGTTATATATTTTAAAAAATTGTAAATGGTATTTTCAACTAAATACAGTGTAAAAATAGATCTTATACATTTATAAATACTACTGAAAAGTTAGGGACCATCTATTTTTTGTTGGATCACTATAGTAAATCTCTCATGATATAACAGATAAACCATAGTATCATTTTAAAAAATTGGATGTTCTTTAACCAATGTTTACATCTTTTGAGTGATCTATTTTGAAAAGTCAGAATCTCAAGTATCAAATATCTAAAAATGTCTCTCTGCAATTAATCTATACCTAAAATATAACAATAAAACAATCAATCAGTCAGTTACATCTATGATATCTTAAAATACACTTGGGAGTTTGGAACATAAGAAACAAAAATAAAAATTTGAAAATAAAATTAAAACAAAAACTGGGACCTTATTAGGCCTTGCTGATAGAAATTATTTTGGGAATATACAATAAAAAAAGTATTGAGATATTTGAGAAAGGATTAACAATATCTAATGAGATCAGGTCCAGGTGCATGAAATAACGTGACAATATAAAACACACTTGGCATACCGGATCATTGACTAGTCATGTTGGGACCATAATACCATTCTCACGTCTAATAGGAATCAACAAATATCTACAGCATGAACCGTAACTGTTTGATATCCTCAATAAATAGTACTCAGGGCAAGAGGGCATTTCATCTCCAACCCAAACATTTTCTCCCACACCTGGGATATATGAAGCCAGGATGAGCACAAATCTTAACGGTGAATGTTCCAGGGTTTGTACCACACGATTCCAAATAAACAGTTTCTACCTCACAGGCATTTGAAACCAGGCATGGCATATACAGTTTTTAGAGATGAAAATGAATTCAATTACAATGGGATACATTTTGGCAGGATATTATTACGATACATGATGTAGGATAATTTTGAGCAGATTTTCTAATGGTTATACGTTTCTTAGAATTATTTGGATTAATCTGAAAAGATATTGTTTTGTTGTTTTTTACCTATTTACACAAGAGTAGCAATGTTGTGGTGCATATATGAAGCGAAACACAAGAACTGATACCCCATTAAATTCCATTCTACTCTAAAGACACACTTAAGGTTTTCCAGTCAATATTGGAAAACTTATCTGGAGCCCTGAATGTGAATTAGCATTAAATCCTCTTAGTCTTGGTCCAGTCATTAGTCAAATACTGTCACAGTGTCAGCTCAACCAAGCCATGTTAGTTGCAACTATATCACAATGAAATAGGGCATTATTAAATCCACTCGAGAATGTCTACTTATATCTGCAACAGAATTATGACAAATATCATTAAAATACAACTTGCACACTGAAAGCCACACTGTAAGCCTTGAACTGCTCGGACACACCATAACATGCTTGTGTCAGACACAAAAACAGTTGCATGTGAAGCAGTTGAAAATTCCATTTGAGAGTTACGTGATTACGAATGTTTTCAATACATATTAAAGAATGACATAAAGAATGGGAAGATCTGATGCTGAAAATGATTCACATGAAGAAATTGTCACAACATGATTATCATGCACATTACCATGGCAACAGTAGTCATGTAAGTTTAACCATTAAACTGTACACACGTCCTTGATACAATGATTTATTATCAATGCAATAAATCTGTTACCATGGTTATAGCTAGCATGCAATTGATATTGTTGCTGTTACCATGGTAACAAATGCTATTATGCTTATACTAAGGTATCAAGTAACGTGAATGTGATACCTTAGCTGTTACCATGGTTACAAAAGACCTCAACACTACCCTGACTGTAACCGTTGCTTCCACTAATGAGTCCTCTACCACTGTAACTATCCACATACAGTGATAAACAAGATAAATATATATCCTCGTAACAACACCATGCATAATGGACTATTTACAAATAACAAATGACAGCCAATGAAATGAGATATATGACAATATCAATACTAGTAACCATCTCCTGAACAATATAACAGTTCCTTCATTGTGTACAGAAGAACTTCCTGTTGCCATGGTTACATTGCTTGTGTAGCACATGACTGCACAGTCCCGTCATATCACGTCAGCTGGTGTGCAACACAAATCAACTACGTAAAGAATCCATCAAGGGTTGAAACACTGCACTAAAAACTATCCATGTCTTTAAAATCACCATGGCAACTTGGTCTGATGCTAATGATGCTGCTAATTCTGGTCTCATGTATTATGATGTTATATCCATATATGTCTCACACTAGCAGATATACAACATATGTACTCCTGTATTCACCATCACATATCAGTGTGATGTTTATGACCAGGTGCAGATATGGGAGTTATCCCAGGCTGTGATGCCAATTTAGGTGAAGATGCAGAGTTATCCCCCCTGCCTATGACACAGACAACCGGTCCTCTGCCTGTTGACTCCGCTCTACCGCCAACTTCATGATATCAGCTGCCAACTCTTCCACAGTTGTGAACCGAACTTTATCGAAACTGAATATATCACAGATGAATCCAAGAATAAGTTCCTGGAAGGAAAATGGTCACAATTGAAAGTACCAGTATTTGGCATCAGGTGATCAGTATTTACAACATACCAGACACATCATGTGCATGATATATATAAATGAGGGGCTAAGTCTTTCAGAAATATATATATGACTTCCACAAATCGGCGTTGCACATTATACCAATGTTTGGAATCAAACCAAGGCCTTCATTGTGACAAGTCAGTGCAGTAACCACTAGGCTATTGTTTATTTGCTGCACTCAGCAACATTTTAGCCACACAATGGCAGTTCATAATAAACAAGTTTGGACTAGACAATCTCATAATTGACAAATCAGCAATATTCCAGCTATATAAAAGGTGGTTCATAAATAATCAAGTTTGGACCAAACTATCTGGTGATTGATACAGATGAAGTGGGTAAATTGGCCATTGTCCCCTGATGACGATCTCACACTATCAATCAGTCGAGTCATTCACTAATATAGCTTTACTGACTGAGTTTAGTTTTACGCCCCTTTTAGCAATATTCCAGCAATATCACGACGGGGGACACCAGAAATGGGCTTAACACATTGTGCCCATGTGGGGAATCGAACCCGGGTCTTCGGCATGACGAGCCAACGTTTTAACCACTAGGCTACCCCACCGACCCTAATATAGCTATAATATTGCTTATCAGCTGATGTGTCAATGTCATGAAGGGGGACCCAAAAAATGGCCTTCAAACACTGTACCCATGTGGACAATTGAACCAGGGTGTTCAGAGTGGATGTTTTAACCATTAGGCTACCCTACCATAGGTGGATCTAGAGGAGGTGCAGGGGTGCACACCTTTTGTCCTGAAAGTTTGTCAAATGACCATTGAAACTCTGGTAAAAACGGGTGAAAATGAACTGTGCACCCCCCACTTTCTGAAATGTGCACCTTCCCTTTCTAAAAAAAGCTGTATCTGCAACTGCCTACCGCCCACGGCAGCTTAAAGTGTCAGGTAGGACCACATCACTTATGAACTGATCAGATCAATATCGGGATGAATTTGAGATGCATTAATAATTCATATCAGAATTAAAACCATGCGACACGGTATTCAAAGCCTAAGAAAATAAATGTGAATCTTACCCTGAAAAAATTGCACATGTGTTTGAGATCCGACTCGGGTCCTAGGAAACCCCAGGCTAACACAGGACTAACGTGTTCCGTTACTCCGTAGAAATGAGATATAAAACCATCAGAAAACTGCAATTAAAGGATCATGACAAGAATAAAGCACAATGACTTCACAAAAGAATACGGGGAACTATGAGAACTATGTCGGCCAACATGGTCGAAGCTTCTGCTATCTAATGCATAAACTAAAGTACTGTCGGAAATTAAAAAAGCTGTTTTTTCAAATTTATATCTACAATTTATGAAGTTAATATGTGAAAGTGTGAAATATCTGCTAAACTAAGTTTGGCCTAACTACGGTCTCAGTGGTGGGGAGATAGGAAACGTAAAAAGAGGACTTTACTGAGGACAGATTAGTGCAGAAATGAGTAATGCAGATTTTTTCAAAGCGACTTATTCAGAACAGACCATGGCTTTATGCAAATCAGTGTGCGATGATATTGTATTTCAAAGGACAGTTTTTAAATGCCTATTTTGAAACTATATTTAGCTTCATTATAAACGACAGCTAACGTAAAAAATACTAACTTTAATACTGAAACTATTAAGGATGTAGCTACCATGAAGCCTCACTATCACTATAAAAAGAAACAGATAGGAGGGGTCGTCTCAAAAGCAAAACCAGGACGAGTGTCACAGACGGTGGTGTGGGTCGTACTGGGGGATAGAGATATCAGCTAAGATAAGATAATCCTCTAGGGAAATTAAACTGGGGGAAGTAAACGGCATGTCTTAACAATTAACAAATAATATCCAGTCCTGTCGGTGTTGGGGTGGTCTTGCCACCTATATATTTTGAGACATTTAATACGATAGTTGATTTAAGCTTTTCTATGGGTATCATATTGTTTTACACATCCCAACATAACGTTATGAAAGACGGGTAAGATGATACTCAATAGATGAGACATATTCAATACACATGAAAAAATGAATAAAATATCTTTGAGATGACCCCTTGTGCCTGTAGGCAGCACATGCATTTCATACCAGGTGAGTCGACGGTCCGTCGTCATACCTGGCTAAGCGACCTAATTGCCATCTATAGTCTGATCTATTGTTTTCAGCAGCTATTCGTATTTTTTTTGCCCAATTTTACGAGTACAAATGATTTTCTAGATATCCTATTACACATCCCACTGAACACCCAGTTAGGCCGATGTGGTTTATTTCAACATATGCTACTTGCAGTTGTGTAAATTGTAGGGATACAGAGTAACAGCCTAAAAACAGTTTTTCCTATTTCCAACAGTACTTTAATGATATAACTTATTGTAAATGACCATAGCACAAGCTGATGATATAAACACTGACAAAATACTAAACATTATATTTAAAGAGCATGATCATGCTGATATAAGCAAGTGTGCACATGGTAGCCTGTACAGACCACAGACCATGTATCAGCTGAAGTTAAGCAGCGTTAGGGAGCGAGTGAGTAAGGTTTACGCCGCTTTTAGCAATATTCCAGCAATATCACAGCGTGAAATGGGCTTCACACATTGCACCCATGTGGGGAATCAACCTGGGCCTTCGGTGTGACAAGCGAACGCTTTAACCACTATGCTACCCCATCGCAATATTACATGAGTAAATGAATCAGGTGGATGGGTGATCAGCAGCTTGACTCATCGGAGTTTCTACGCTATCAGTGCTGCCCTATACTGACACAAGTTCATCTGGTGGAGCATAAGGCAAGTTTCTTTATTCACATTATGTCTCTGTTCACTCAGCTGTAAATGGGTACCAAGTGGGATGAGATAGTATTGTGACTGTTAACTGTTACACCTCATAAGAAGCGACTGTTGCTAAACTCTCTAGTGAGCTGAGAAAGAAATTTGAATGCATGCTGATCCATTCACCAGGGTAATAATGTAGTACCCTGAGGGAGAGGATTTGGTGCATTAAGAATATGATTGTCATTAGTTGTAAATGAGTGATGTCCATGAACAGCACACGTGTCAGAGACATAACATTCCAAATTAATCAACTTAACAGCAAATTAACAAGGCTTTCAACAGTATTTCAGTTATATGACAAATAATGAATAAATGCCCAACAGTGAGCAGATCCTGATATGGCTAAGGGACATAATTCTGTACATATTTCAGTTCTTCATGTACTTACCTTCAACATTCTTCTCTTGGCTTTCAACACAGACCAAACAGCAGTGGCTAAAGCCTTAAACAGAAAGTCATGGGCGCGTTGTACTCAAACACTGCATGAAGTCATGGGCATTGTACTCAAACACTGCATGAAGTCATGGGGGCATTGTACTCAAACACTGCATGAAGTCATGGGGGCATTGTACTCAAACACTGCATGAAGTCAGCATCTAGTTTTCAACGTATGAGAAATTGGAATGTAATTTATTACTTGGGTAGAGGGTGAACATTAGCAAACGTTGAAGAGGTACGAAGACTTCTATAGCATTCCAGTTAGGAGTTATTCTAATTACTTTAATTATTGGGAGGATATTCACATATTTGGTGAATGTGCAAGAAATTATACATTGGGGGATTGATTCATTGGTTTAAGTTTTGTTTAAGATTTGTTTCAATTTTCACCTTATTCAATGTTAGACATACTTATTTTGATTTGTTGTTTACTAAGTGGGAAAAACAACTGGCTCATTCCCACAAATATAATTCCTTAAATATATTTAAGATACAGACCGTCAATAATAATCCCCATCAGAAGACAATACGTACCGTTTCCTTGAACCCATTAGACAACCATCGATTCTGTACAACGGCTACTACTGAAGCTGGGGGGTTGTCTAGATCATCGAACGCATCCATCATTATAAACTCCAACACAATGTCATAGAAAGACATGGTCTTCACCTGAAGTTGGAAAAGACAACAAATCATGATACATAGGAGTACAAAAATATAACCTCAGTCTCAGCACACAATGTCCCCCACATGGATATTGCTGAAATAGACATAAACGCTGTGTAAAACCACACACAGAGATTCACACACTGTACCACACGTCTGAAATCATATACTTCATATGTATCAGTACTAATTTACATCTTGATTTAACAACTTTCATTGATGCCTCTCTGTGTGTCCCCAGTGTGAACCTGCATCCAAGCCTCATCTGCAACATCATCTCTCGACTCACCCCTCTTGCCCAAACTCACCCCTCTTGCCCAAACTCACCCCTCTTGCCCCTCTTGCCCAAACTCACCCCTCTTTCCCAAACTCACACACCAATGCCAAAATGCACACCCCTCAATGTCTGAAAACTCACCCCTCAAATGTCTGAAAACTCACCCCTCAGTATCAGAAAACATACCCCTAGTTTCAGAAACTTACCCCTCACATGTCTGAAAAGTCACACTCATGCCAGAACTTACCCCTCTGCCTTTAAGCTCTTCCTCAATCTTGTCCCAGCTGTCCATGATCTCCACGAAGGACACCATCTTGTCATAAGCGACATAAAACTCCTCTGGATCCTGCAACACAATACAAGTCTGAGTATCATCAGCATGGAGGATGGCGGATCAGAAAACTTGAGTCCTGAGCTTAAGAGTCCTCTTAAGGACCATCTTGTTTCATCCTTTATTGTCCATCATTGTCTCGTAATTATTTCCTGTTTAACACCACACACAGCAACATTCCAGCTAAAGGTCGGAAGCCTTTAAATCATGACCAGACCCTCCACTGTCCATTTTATGAGGATTGTTTCACCCTGTCAAGGTATGTAACGCACCATCAACCAAATCAACAAGTCTGACCATCCAATCCTCTTACATACACATACATACATACAAATACTTGTATAGAGCCAATATCCGTAAACCGCTCAAAGGCGCTTTGGCTCTAAGATGGTTTAGATATCACATAGAGTTCAAGTGCTTCAGCAAAGAGACACGTCTTTAGATTTGATTTAAAAACAGCTAAATCTGGTTGTGTTCTGAGGTGAGATGGAAGATTGTTCCAGAGATGAGGGCCAGTTGTCTCGAGTGACCTGTCACCATATGTTTTTGTCCTAGTCACAGGAATTATCAAAAGACACTGGTCATTTGATCGGAGGGAACGTACAGGAGTATAACGGTGGAACAGATCACAGAGGTACTGAGGAGCTAGACCATGGGGTTTCTTGCAACCCAGAATCCAGAAAACCTATATGATACATTATTTAAATTTAGAAACAGATATACAGTGATAAATTTATGATCAATGTCACAAGCCCTCTGGAAACAACGACATGCAATCCACCAGGTAACCACACCTGTTTGCCCGATATGTCAAGACAGGGTCTCTTGTTGGTGACAAATTCTAACCTAGACTCTTCTGGTTGTTTCAGGAAAGACATCTACTAAAGGTTACAAGACAAACAAATGCCTTCCTGATTTCAGACAGACAATTTCACACAGAGCATAAGCTGCACTGTCTAGACCCAGGCCAGATCTGACCACCGAGCTGTTAGACTATCATCTAGAAGTGACCTTCACCTTGTCAGCCTGCACAAGCATGTCCCCAATGAGCCTCCTGCCAGTCACCCGCCACCATTCACGCTTCTCACCATCTTTGAAGATGTGCTGGAAAACACAATATCATTATCCTAATCACACACATATTCTTTATATTTCTAAAAACTTTTCATTATCGACTCTGAATTTTGTAAAGATTCTTTTAACAATGACTGTTCAATGTTCAGGTTTTCTTTTAACTTGCAATTACTGACATTTGACCTGATAAAATAATTCGTGAGACTATTAACCTTCTAACGCCTAACAGGCAGTTTGGGTTATCTGGGGTAATAATGATCAGATTGTGTGCCTTGAGTAGGATATACAGGTATACTAATACTAGCAGTTAGTCTAAGTAAATATACAAACATTATATGTAGTACATACTTCAAATGCTAGCCTGAGGCCAAATAGCTTTGCTAGAAATTCAGTATCAGAAAGACATTCTGCCATCTCGGTTCTGGAAGAAGAAACATGACTTAGTAATATGACACAACAAAAACAAGCCACCATCTTGAGTAGCATTCATAAACAACATGATGGACGATGGGTCCATCTTGTCAGCTGGGTACAGACAATCTTATTAAAATCAGATCCCATTACAGGTCACATGAGGGCGGTGGGGTAGCCTAGTGGTTAAAGTGCTTGTTAGTCACACCGTGTGAAGCCCATCTATCTTGTCCAATGCTGTCATATTGCTGGAAAATTGCTAAAAGCGGCTTAAAACCACATTCACTTACTCACAGGTCACATCAGAATGACCTATCAACCAACCAATCAGAAGCCTGCTTACAAGATCACAAGTCATGCAACCATGAATAGGTTAACAAGGAGCATTCCAAATGATAGTTACAGGCTGAACATCTGATTCTGAAGAGACTTTCCATAGACTGACAGAAGCACTACAATACAATCTCTAAATCATTCTAGAATTTTTGCCATTTGTACTGTAAAGCCGAAGAATGCTGTTTTCTGGGAGGCTAATGTCAACTTCATGTTAGTCATTTTATTGGTAGGTCATTTCACTGGTAAAAGGTCATTTGCATTTGGCCTGTATTCAGTTCTTTGAGGATGCAGTCATGAGCACTAAGGATTGATTTTAAAGAGATTTCAAGAACAGAGGCCCTAGTTTCCCAAAGCAGTCTTGTGTCTAGTGAAATTTTGTTTCGTTTATTATGCTCAGAAAATAGAAGTCCATATATTAACAAGTTGAATCTACTGAACATGATGCACCGAGACAATGTCAGGTTAGTGGTGCTGAATGAATGCTGTTGAGTAACCATGGAAACTAGGGTGAGAAGATGGTAAAACTTTTGTTCCATTACCTTGACTACCAAGAACAAGTATATATGAAGAATTGTTTTTATTTTGAAGGATAAATTATGAATGGCATAGAATGACAGAATGGTAGAGTAAAGTATCTATTTTGGTAATCTTGATGCATGTTACCATGGTTACCTGAGAGATCTGCAGGAGACGTTCCCATACTTGAGCTCGAGTAGCCCTGCCTCATACAATGGCAGGTAGCGGAACAGTTCTCGATGTTTCTCAAGGTCAGACAGGTTGGCCATCTAAAACCAAGCAGAACTTGTAGCAACAATACTGCCATACCGATCGTGCTTAATTGAAGAAAATAACAAAAAAGCAAGTAGTTATTCTTTCAATAACAAGAGCTGCAACTCTGCACATCAAATTACCATACGTTATGAATATTGGGCCAACCTGGATAGTGCATCTTCAATTATCCAGAGAATAATATGAATCCATTTTATCAAGATTTATACACAGGATTCACTTGCAAATTAGCTTCATTTGGACTGATGTCACCAGCTCAATCCCCCTTTCCACAGACTGTATTTCACTTATGAGAATCATTTGATCAGACAGTGGGTGTGTCTTTCAAATCGAGTTCATAATTCAAAAGGAATTTTATGGAAAAGGGACGGACAGGGTAGCCCCTTAGATTCCCCATATGGGTACAATGTGTGAAGCCCATTTCTGGTGTCTCCCCCGTGATATTGCTGTAATATTGCTAAAGGCGGCGTAAAACCATACTCACTCACTCACCCCCATATGGCAAAGTGTATCATTACTCATGCATGCCACGTAATTTGGCAAAACAAACATGAATTATTCCTGATTAAATTACTAATAGTATACAATGCTCACATCTGTTGCCGACACGAAAGAGTCCTGATCGCTGGATGACTCGTCAAGACTACGCTGCCTCTCCTGGAGACGATCAATCTCCGCGAAGGCCGACAAGGCCGACCCCAGGGCCACCTGGTCTGCATGGCGCTCACACTGGCGTTCGTAGTTGTCCTGCATACGGTACGCCAGGTCCAGCAGGTGCTCCAGACGATGCTGCAGAGCCGCAGTGTCAGGGTCCTGTAAACACCAGCGCTAGGTCAACCAACATTCATGCTTTACACATCATGGTCACTTTACACTTATAAAATTACTCAGTCCAGCACAAGGGCTGTCTTGCAGTACCAACAAACAACAACATTGCTTCCAACAGTTGTACATTACAAGCTTCTAACATCTTGCATAAACGTAATCAATAGACATTCATAATAACAAGAGTACTTTACAGCACCTCATCCACGACACTGAGGGACATGCTATAAGCTCATACAAGACACAGTTCATTATTACCCCAGACAACCAAGTTGCCTGTCAGACTCTAGAAGGTAATAGTCACATGACTTATCCCACCGGTTACCCATTTTCTGCTGGGTGAACAGAGGCAAATTGGAACAAACTCACTTGCCTAAGCAGGGATTTACATGGAGTGCTGTATTTGAGGGTCCCAGGGACTCATACTCTTAATTTTCAGGGGTCCTGGACAACAAAATGCGGGTCCCAGACACTTAAACATTATTGCTAATACTGTTATTGTATTGTGTATCATGATCATCACATTGTTACAGTAATTAAATTCCAAATAATACCATAACCCAGCTAGTAGCAAGCTCAGTGATACTTGATTGGAAATTTACAAAAGTATAAAATTTAGACTTTTTCTGAGTCCCTGTGGAAGCGCTAATAAATTTCGTTGCGTCCATTGTCAATTTTTATGTTTATAGGACGCAGGAATTCACGTACTGTAAATCCCTGCCTAAGGTGAGACCACATGTATCACATGTACTTCGTTGTGGGGCAGGACTGATGTCCTAGAAACTCTCAGGAGTCAAGCTGCCAAACACGGTCACCCATCCAAGGACTCTCCGCGCCCAACGTTTCTTAACTTCAACTGAATTGTGGCCTGAGCTCTATGTACAGAACCACAGACCAGCAGTCATATGTGGTAAGATGAGAAGAGGTGAAATGAGATGGGGTTTAACATTGTACTGTTGATTATTGCACTGATCTTCTGTGAGAAATGGTTGTTTGAACAAGTCAACATAGATACCATCCTGCCTTTTGACACGGATACCCTCCTCAGACACGCTATACTAAGCCAGCCAGTCAGGTCAGAAAAGCCAGTTCTTTTCACATGATTACATATCCTTCCCGTTGTTTGAGTAGTACATATACATATATCTACCCAGTATAAGCTAATTGTTTATTGCATGCAAGGGAGGTTTTCTATAATCAACGAAAACATTCATCAAATTCCGAGTTAACTTCAGACGTACAGGTATAGCAGGGTATGGTTGGTCATCCACGTAGGAGAGCTTCATTACAGCATCCTCCCAGAATGCAACAGCATCTCCCAGGTTCTCCATACCTATATCATAATGTGACAAAGTTACAACACAATATATATGTTCATCAGACTTATAAACAACTAAAATAGAAAAAAGGCCTAATATTGTTTTCTCATTCAGTATATGATTTCAGGCAACTATTTTTTACACAATATGTTGGAGTCATTTTGATGTTGGAATAAGCCTCCTGGTAATATTGCAAGTGTCAAGTTTTCGTCATTCATACAGTGTGTGGTAAGCCTCCTGGTAATATTACAAGTGTCAAGTGTTCGTCATTCATACAGTGTGTCACACACAAGCGTAAGTTTACAGTATCACATGACCATGTGTTACAATAAAGGTCCTGAACCTGTTCACCACCACTTTGTTTCACAACTGAAATCACAAACTACATCTCTAACCTCATCATTGCTATTTTTAGCAATACGGTCAGCAATATCACTTGTGAAAGTGAGTGAGTGAGTTGGGGTTTTTTATGTCGCTTTTAGCAATATTCAGCAATATCATGACGGGGGACACCAGAAATGAGCTTCAAACAATGTACCCATGTCGGGAATCGAACCCGGGTCTTTGACATAATGAGCGAACACTTTAACCAATGGGCTACCCAACCACCCCCTTAAAAGAGAACTTAAAAGAGAAGTTAACCATTATTTCCTGCAGGACAACCCCTGGACTCACCGAGCTGACACAGTTGAAGAGGAGACATGTTGTCCGGGTCCACGCCAGGGTGTGTGACTGTCGACGATGACGCCCCTCCAAGGCTGGATAGAGAGCTGGAGAGGGACCTCTGCTGGATGAGAGAGCGCATCGACCCACTTGGACTGACACTGTCTCGCAACCGAGAGGGCACATCTGAATAACAATGAAGTACTTATTAAATACGGTCAGACAAATGATGTTTGATGCAGTATCTGTGTGAAAATACAAGTACCAACTTTATGTTAAAGTTCTCGTTTATCTCGTAGATGATCCCTCAGTTTTATCACCAATATTCCATATAGTCTGTATTTGACAAAGACAGCATTCTGTCTTTTACACACACAGATTTATCTTGTGCCCTTGGCAGTCAACTTTGGAATTCTTTTTCTTAAATTCCTATCTTCCTAAATTCAGTGTTACTTGAGCAATGCAATAATGTTTAGCTATTGGTCAAGGTTTCACTGCAATGCCAAAAGCGTAAAACCAAACTCAGTCAGTCAGTCCTATCTTCTTAAATTCAGTGTTACTTGAGCAATGCAATAATGTTTAGCTATTGGTCAAGGTTTCACTGCAATGCATGTCACATCTACTACAGTTACTGCCAAGGTTACTTTATAATGCCATATTATTCTAATCAACATACCTATGTCATTTATGTGTGAAGCCCATTTCTGGTGTCCCCCGCCATGATATTGCTGGAATATTGCTAAAAGCGGCGTAAAACCATTCTCATTTACCTATGTCATTTTATTGTGAATCATTTTTATATATTTATCACTAAACTGCCCAGAATATTTTGAAAACTATATGACTATAGCATACAAGATATTCTCACTAGGCCAAACAAAAAATATGTTGTGGTTCCGATTACACCTCTTTAAACTTTAAGGTCGGTAGGTAGGAATTCTTTTTTATTTACATTTTTTTTTAGAAGTAAAGTACGAACTAATAACACACTTATCAATGTGTAATTGTTTATTCAATCGAGCTGGCGGGCATCATGTCAACTTTCTTTATCAGAATGACCAATGTCCGTTGGTGCCAGGGAAAAACAATAGTATCTGAAAGCGTATTTTATTCATGCCTTTAAAAAAACTTGGGTCGGCACCAGAAATCAAGGGTCGGTCAGGTAATCGAAACCACAACAGTTTTTTTAGGCCCTATGTGTATTTGGTAACCAGATCATACAGGATGTAACAGTAGGAAGGAAGAGGAAACTTCCGTCATGGCAACTCCTTCCTGGTACACAATACTCTCAATACAGTATACCATGTCTAATACAGCAGTATTAGTACTCAAACATTTGATAGGGAGGGATACTTGGAGTGTACACTTGGATGTCGATGTGAATGTGACTGGTTGCTCCAATATGTTATAAACTGATAAACAGGGGTTCAACATTTTTTTAATTTAAGAAAGTAACTTGTCTTGACTAATTTTCCACTTGACCTGATTTTATGAAATAAGTATTATGATGTAATTATGAAAGAATAAATCAACATGGTATTTGATGTTAATGTTTACTGGACTATTTATTGAAAAGTGATAAATAACAAAGAAAGATAAGTCTACTTTATTACCATTGCGAAATTTAATAGCTACATTTTGAGCAGATATGAAATTAAATCCAAGTTTATTTGCAGTTTGAAACCATAAGTGGAAATTATCTAGTAGCCCACGGACAAGTAAGATACCATTATTTGATTGCCCGAAAGGAAAACTGACTTGTCCTGGGCGTCGGGCAATGGGATTTTTTAACCCCTGCTGATAAATGTATTTTGTTTCAAGGATGCCACAGGGCACTTATGAAGATATTTAGGTGGTATTCCATCCTGCTATGGAGTGATTACATTTTCAACTTAACTTCAAGTTGATTAAACATAAATAAATACACAGTTTAATATTTGTTTGTTTGTTGTTTAACTTTGCACTCAGCAATATTCCAGCTTTGTGTCCCTGGGCCAGACAATCCAGTGATCAACAGCATGAACATCGATCTACGGAATTGGGATAAGATGACATGTGTCAAACAAAGACACTGAACTTGACCACCATCCCTTTTTTTGCCTCTTACAACAAGCCTGGGCTGCTCAAGGCCAGTTCTAACTTGGATCTTCACAGGTCACACACTTTTTTAACCTACGCCCCAGGAAAAACATCTCATTGCCTCCATACAGTCCTGAGCAGTACATGCACACTGATGCAGTGATGTAGGTCTTGCCATTAGTTCACTTGGCCTATGATTTCCCAGTAGTCATGAATTGATCAGTGTGTATTGTAAACACAGCTATATTATTATTAAATTCATTATTAGAATTTCATCCCTGAATGTCTACTTGTCTTGACTAGCACACCCCCAACCAAACATCATGTTTGTATCATTTGGCATTAACATACAATACATTATACAATCCTTGATCTTGCTCATACAACATGTAACATAATGCTTCAACCTTGCTGAATTGTTACACTGATGTAATGAAATTTCCAGTTGTTCAGCATACATGCAAGGATAGAAATGTACTTTGTTTAAGGATGCCACACTGCACTTACAAAGATATTTAGGGATGCCTTTTAGAACCTATCCTACAAGACCAGAGTCTTTTACCTCGATGAATGTCATTTCACCTAGACTCCATTTCTTCTTTAAGCAATACTTCAATTTACAAATCCCTATATTTTATAAATTATAACAAGCATTTCATAGGTTCATTTCGCCATGTATATAAGCCTGTCCAGATCACTTTAGCAAAGGATGTGTGTCATGTTTATCCACATGATCAATGGCTTTGTATAATATGTATTACTCAAACGAAATTACAAACAAATGATTCTTTATAGACTTTGTTTCTATGATTGCAGCATGAAAGTAACATAAAAAATCAGATGAACTTCAAATTGTATACAGCATCACAAAGTGTATTTTTTCAAGGTATGAATTTTATGGGCAGCCCTGAACATTTCTAAACTTTGCTATTATGAAATTAATTTACCATTAACCTGACTGACACTCCAACAGAAACAAAAGGAACCAGAAACTTTGACATTCCATATTACAATAAAGGTGGAGGTGTATTCAATTACCTCCATTTGGTGTTGCTACTGGTTTCCTTATTCGGCCATATTTCCTCTGTATTTCAGCCAAGCTTTGTTTGTGTTTGTTTCCTTTCTTCTGTGTGGGAGGACGCCGACCCCTCCTTCGACGCAGCATGGCAGCTATCAAACCAATCAAAGCAATGCCTAGAGATACACTAAAGGCTGTATACTTGAACTGCCGAGACAGGTGTGGCAGCGCTGGTAGGCGTTGCTGAATTTGGGCGAGATTCTTGAACATGGTGGAGTAGTTCTTCTATTAACCTCAACAAATCTGAAATGAATTTTTACTGAATAAATTTCTGACAATTCCAAATATGAGAAATAAAAGTCTGCTTAGCTGCTGTAATACATAATACAAAATAATACATCAGACATGATCCCCAAACACTTGGATCATGTCAGTGATTCCAGCGGTTCTTATTTGTTGATTCATTCGAACAAAGAAAAGAATATTGTGCCATTCTATTAACTTACATAATGCACCAAACAAACATGTGATCACAAACAAACGGGGAAATGCTTAGATATAACGTTTTCATACAATGGTATACTGACAACACAAATTAGATATTTGTTTATAAAATCTAAATTCAACAGTGTTCAAGTTTCTCTTGTTGATTCGAGGATAATGGCACAAAAACAGAATTAGGCCTACCATTATTGAGATTTATTGCTGATCCCAGTACTGTAATGAAGATCTCAGGTACAACTATTGGCAAGAAGCCTTCAAGACTAACTGTAAGCTAAGAGAAGCTGTAACTATGCATATCTGTCCCGTTATAAATCACGTTATCTCAGTTCTAGTGAAGCCGCTATGTGCTCTTGACAGAATCATGCCCTTGGGTCGGCATTAGCTTTGCTTGGTTTAGTACAGCATAATATTCGTATTTCAACGAACCAGTTAAATTCCCTCGGTTTCAAGGTTACTTTCAAAACATTTTAATTAGATACTGATTAAATTCATCAGATATATTTGACTATCTGTCATATGAACTCATGAGTTTGCTTCGAAACCCTTTTCAAACACAACTCTGAATGTTGTGTGAAAATGGCCGCGGCCACAGAAGCTCACGGAGTGTCAACAACACCACAGGTTTTGATTGTTTATTTTGTTCTGTGTATGTTCTAAGATGATCAAGACGACATGACAACCCTTGAGTTAATAAGTCTATTGCTTCTCTTTTCAAAATTAAATATTGTCTTCGTTTTATATCACTTTTTTTTTTTTTAAATGACGACCATGTACACCTTCGGTTTTCGTGATGATGCATTGACACCCGTTTTCGTTGGTGTCAGTTGGTATCATGGGACTCTCTATTATCGCGGTAGTTAATGTTGTCTCCATCGGGATTATGAACGGCTACTGACATTTAGCATTTTATATATATTTTCAGTTGACTGATGTTTATTTTTCATTTCTGTCACAAATAATGTGACACATAGTCGCAACTGTGACTAAGACAAGTAACGAATCTTAATAGTTTGATCATTAAAAATATTTAGGAATTTGATTCACATTAGTAATATCATTATGTTTTTAACCCAAACATCTGAAACTTCTATTCATTTGGATACAAAGTAACAATAACGTTACAAACTATTGTTTTTCCGCCTTTAAAACATACCATACAAGTTGCTGCAGTGTGTAGAGTGAAGTTGCATAATACGTCACTTCCTGTTATATTTTTAGCACGGAAAATATGCAAATAACCTTATAGTTGTGGCAGGATTACTCTTGACGGAAGTAAGTTTTGATTCATGCTAGATGTAATGGCAGTAGGGGTCATACTAGTTTCAAAATGTTCCAGATCTTACTGAAAGATGAATGCTTTACTATTTCTAATGATTAGACATGACATTCCAATGAAATACATGACTTTTCCAGAGCCGATGAATATATTTTTACATAATTTGCATATGTAAACAGCCGCATGCGGGCGGTGGTGTTTCTGCTTTCCCCGATGTTTTCGGCGTGCTGCGATAATAGAGAGTCCCAATATCGCATTACTATTTTGTTCTCGCCATCTCCTTATGAAAAAATAGTACCAACCTAATGAAGTTAGCTTATTCGGCTTCCTGGCAGCAGTGATGCGGTGAATGGCGAATTAGTTCAAGATGTTATTGCTACAACTTTTTACAATGCCATCGATGCTTAACACGGCAACTAACGTCTCTTATTTTGGGTTTACGTGCCTAACATGCTGGTATGCATCATATTTACCTAGAAATATAAGTTTATTGGCGACTATAAGATTCTAACGTTGCATTATGCCATACAGTTGACCTTACCGGCATTCTGACGACATCGCTTGCTCTCCGGGTAATTCAGCTGTAGCAACTGATCGCGATAACATCCAGCTGGTGATCGAAGTATGGAAGCCGCATTAGGGCCAGATTATTTTAAAAATCACTTCATCAATGTAAGGAAGAGTGTTTCATATTAAATCCAATTATGAATGATGAAGAAAAGATTTAAAAGTCTGAAGAAAAACAAGTTTTCATAAAACTGTCAATTTATCTGTCAGTTACTGTTATTTACTTACCTTTAGTGATTAAAAGCCAGTCCCTTGTAAAAATGTCCCGATTTCAAATGTAAATGTGGTAGCAGACGATGTTTACCTTCAATACTGAAGTACACTATTGCAGCCGCGCTCATGAAAATTACCGGACGGCGGAATTACGGACTCGCTTGTAATTGTTCAACTATCCATTTCATTGGATGAATCCCAATGTTATCTTGTTAATTTGAAGAAACTCCACAATCTTTATCAAGTTTAGCGTTGCTGATTCGAGTACTGCACTTTACCGAGCACTTTTTCAGATTAATTAGTGCTGCTGGGGCTCAAACGCGCCGGCGGATTACTGACTTTGTTAATTAGTGGCGTAATTAGCGGACGCTCTACCTGCGTGGCCACAAGCACCATCACAGTTAATGAGTGCTCGTTTAATTGGTCATTTGCACAGGAGTGAGGAAGAGCGAGAAATGAAAACAATCAACCGCCAAGCGCAATGGTTTTGTTTACATTTCTCACCGGCTTCCATACTAATGCCATGCCCTTCCATTCATTTTCCAGTACCCGGATGGATCGAAATGTGTTTCAATTGGATATATTAGGATTATACTTGCCCTAAGGTAAAGGTCTATCCCTAAATAAGGATCCAAAAGAGTCCCTAACCCTAAGGAATTAGAAAGGTTCCAAAACCCTACCCCTCTCCCAACCCTAACCCTAAAGAGTTAGAAAGGTGCCATAACCCAACACTAAACCCTAACCCTAAGGATCGGATAGGGTGCTAACCCCCAAACCCTAAGGATCGTAAAGGTTCCTAACCCTAACCCTAAGGATCATAAAGGGTGCCTAACCTAACCCCTAACCCTAAGGGGTGAGTGAGTTTAGTTTCACGCGGCACTCAGCAATATTCCAGCTATATGGCGGTGGTCTGTAAATAATTAAGTCTGGACCAGACAATCCAGTGACAAATAGCATGAGCATCGATCTGCGCAATTGGGAACCGATGACATGTGTCAACCAATTCAGCGAGCCTGACCACCCGATCCCGTTAGTCGCCTCTTACAACAAGCATGGGTTACTGAAGGTTCATTCTAACGCGGACCTTCACGGGTACCTAACCCTAAGGATCATAAAGGGTGCTTAACCCTAAACCCGAACCCTAAGGATTGTAAAGGGTTGTTTGACTCTAAAGATGTGTCAGCTCCCTAAAGATCGGAACCCTAAGGATGGTTGACTGGCAAGTGAAGGGAGACGGAGCAATTACCGTGATAAAGCAAGACAGCACTGGAGACAGTCGCGGTAAGCGCTATAACACGATAATTGCCCATGGCGGCAACTGCTGCACCCGGTAAAGTGCATTCTAGCCCTGATGTGCCATTAGGTAATGAGTGAGTGCTGATGACTTTCTAAACAAATGCTAATCATTTCTGCTCATGGTAGGGTGTTGACAAATTGGATTCACTCAGCATCCCAGCTTAACTTCCATTTGGTAATATGAGTTGACCCCATATGATGCTTACTGAAAACTGAAAAACTGTTTCTCTACTTCTTTTTTAAGGATATTTTGAATGAAGTGAATCGGCTTTTACGTGGAGCAAGCTATGACAGTAAAATTGAGAAGAAAGCCTTGCCCAGTCAGCTGTTCCTGTTGCTTGGGACGATGCCTGCAGCCAGACATGCAGTGTTGGAACACTTCTGTAATGTCTTTGATGAGGCCGTCAACAACCATCTATTACAGATGGAACTGGGACAAAGTGTTACAGGTGGGTGGAGATAGCCAGCAAGGCGGTCACACACTACACTAGTCTGTATGTCTTAACATTGTACTTTCGATCTGGCGCTAATTGGGAACCGATGACATGTGTCAACCAAGTCAGCGAGCCTGACCACCCAATCCCGTTAGTTGCCTCTTACAACAAGCATGGGTTACTGAAGGCACATTCTAACCCGGACCTTCATGGGTACCTAACCCTAAGGATCATAAAGGTGCTTAACCCTAAACCCTAACCCTAAGGATCGTAAAGGGTGCCATACCCTTAACCCTAACCCTAAGGATAGTAAAGGGTTGTTTGACTCTAAAGAAGTGTCAGCTCCCTAAAGATCGGAACCCTAAGGATGGTTGACTGGCAAGTGAAGGGAGACGGAGCAATTACCGTGATAAAGCGAGATAGCGCTGGAGACAGTGCGGTAGCGCTATAACACGATAATTGCCCCGCAGCGAGCAGCGAGGCTGCGCCCGGTAAAGTGCTTTCTAGCCCTGATGTGCCACTAGGTAAATAAGTGAGTGCTGATGACTTTCTAAACAAATGCAAATCATTTCTGCTCATGGTAGGGTGTTGACAAATTGGATTCACTCAGCATCCCAGCTTAACTTCCATTTGGTAATATGAGATGACCCTCATATGATGCTTACTGAAAACTGAAAAACTGTTCCCTACTTCTTTTTAAGGATATTTTGAATGAAGTGAATCGCTTTTTACGTGGAGCAAGCTATGACAGTAAAATTGGAGAAGAAAGCCTTGCCCAGTCAGCGCTGTTCCTGTTGCGGACGATGCCTGCAGCCAGACATGCAGTGTTGGAACACTTCTGTAATGTCTTTGATGAGGCAGTCAACAACCATCTATTACAGATGGAACTGGGACAAAGTGTTACAGGTGGGTGGAGATAGCCAGCAAGATGGTCACACACTACATTAGTCTGTATGTCTTAACATTGTACTTCATTATGTAACTGTAACTTTGTGCTGTTTCAGATGAGACTGTGAAGACAAAGGAGGGAATCCTACAGGACATCTCTGGGGTGCTACTCAGTTTCATCCAAGTCAACCCAGAAGCCTGGGCTCCCATCATCTCCGCTGTAAGTTGGTGCTTGTGTGATGATAATAATACCATGAACAAAATTCAAAAGGGATACATGAAAAGAAGAGATTTTTTGGATGTCAGTTTCCTTATTTTAATGTTACCCACTGTGATAATGCATGTAAAAATTTGAACTGAACACAAGATTATGTTAATATCAAGGTATGAAACTCCCAAAAATTTCAGCCAGACCACAGGGATGGTTAGATGAAAAACTTGCCAGGCCTGACCAAAACTTACTTGCCCGCAAATATTTCAGGTTTGACAAGCGACGTAGTTTATCATCCAATTGGAATTCATCATATTTTTTTTACGAGTGAATTAATAATGATTTATTATCCTGAAATATGATGAATATCTTCATATACATGTCTAAATTTTAACCCGACCGTTGAGCAGGTTAACTTGAGAATCTGGCGGTCTGTGTTAAAAATAACCTGTCCCAGGTGGTCGGGCAGGCAGTTATTTCAAACGCTGTTAATATTCTGTGATCCTGTTTGCCAGTGGTCCCTGGAGCTTTTGGGTCACATCAGCTGTAAGTATGCTGAGAAGCGAGGGATGACTCACTCGAGTTCCCTGAACGAGGTCCTGCAGCTGTGGATGACCTGCTCCCCTACCAAGCTTCTCATGGAACTTGCCTCCGAGTGTTTCGCAGCCATGTGAGTCCTACCATCAAACTCCACCTCAACTTGCCAAACTTGTAGCTACTGAGCTAGAATATCAACAAGTTTTCTTTTCTTTAAGATTTGTTTATGTTCTCTACCTGTCTCAGTATCTTTATCACTATGTAGTCTCTACATCTAACTGCATAGTGGATCCAGTAGCACAGGACTGCAACTGTACACAGCAGCCCTTGCTGATGATAATGGGTTTGAATACATAATTTGACAGGATTGTGATCCTTGGTCCAGCATTACGATATCAGTTCTTATTGCTTTCACCCAGTGATGAAGTAATGCATGCATCACTTTGCATTTTCCAACCACTGTTACCACACACTATTGATAGCTGATGATAGTAACTGATGTAAGTGATATGTCAACTCATTCCTGTTCCAGGGTTGGGGGAGCTCCTGACATCTGTGTAGATGCTCTGCTTGAGGCTTCAGTCAAGTACAGTCCACACTTTGACTGGGTTGTAGCTCACATTGGGTAAGTTGTGTGTAACTCACACATGTAAGTTGTGTGTAGCTCACATATGTAAGTAGGGTATAGCTCTCATATGTAAGTAGTGTTTAGCTCACATATGTAAGTAATGTGTAGCTCACATATGTAAGTTGTAGCTCACACATGTAAGCTGTGTGTAGCTCACGCATGTAAGCTGTGTGTAGCTCATGCATGCAAGCTGTGTGTAGCTCATGCATGTAAGCTGTTTGTAGCTCACACATTTAAGTTGTGTGTAGCTCATGCATGTAAGTTGTGTGTAGCTCACACATTTAAGTTGTGTGTAGCTCATGCATGTAAGTTGTGTGTAGCTCATGCGTGTAAGTTGTGTGTAGCTCATGCATGTAAGTTGTGTGTAGCTCATGCATGTAAGTTGTGTGTAGCTCATGCATGTAAGTTGTGTGTAGCTCACATTTAAGTTGTGTGTAGCTCATGCATGTAAGTTGTGTGTAGCTCATGCGTGTAAGTTGTGTGTAGCTCGCATGTTATCTGTTTGTAGCTCGCACATGTAAGCTGTTTGTAGCTCGCACATGTAAGTTGTGTGTAGCTCATGCGTGTAAGTTGTGTGTAGCCCATGCGTGTAAGTTGTGTGTAGCTCATGCATGTAAGTTGTGTATAGCTCACACATGAAAGTTGTGTGTAGCTCACACATGTAAGTTGTGTGTAGCTCACATGTTATCTGTTTGTAGCTCGCACATGTAAGCTGTTTGTAGCTCGCACATGTAAGTTGTGTATAGCTCACACATGTAAGTTGTGTGTAGCTCACACATGTAAGTTGTGTGCAGCTCACATGTTATCTGTTTGTAGCTCGCACATGGAAGTTGTGTGTAGCTCATGCGTGTAAGTTGTGTGTAGCTCATGCATGTAAGTTGTGTGTAGCTCACACATTTAAGTTGTGTGTAGCTCATGCATGTAAGTTGTGTGTAGCTCACACATGAAAGTTGTGTGTAGCTCACACATGTAAGTTGTGTGTAGCTCACGCATGTAAGTTGTGTGTAGCTCACATGTTATCTGTTTGTAGCTCGCACATGTTAGTTGTGTATAGCTCACACATGTAAGTTGTGTGTAGCTCACACATGTAAGTTGTGTGTAGCTCACATGTTATCTGTTTGTAGCTCGCACATGTAAGCTGTTTGTAGCTCGCACATGTAAGTTGTGTATAGCTCACACATGTAAGTTGTGTGTAACTTACATGTGTAAGTTATGTGTAGCTCACACATGTAAGTTGTGTGTAGCTCACACATGTAAGCTGTTTGTAGCTCACATGTACGTTGTTTGTAGCTCACACATGTAAGTTGTGTGTAGCTCACACATGTAAGTTGTTTGTAGCTCACACATGTATGTTGTGTGTAGCTCACACATGGAAGTTGTTTGTAGCTCACACATGTAAGTTGTATGTTTTTTGTTTTCTTTTTCGGGAAGGTGGTGTGTCAATCTCACTGACCTGATTGATCTATGTCAGTTGTGTAGATGATTGCTTGACTGGTTTGTCAATTCCAGTCTCCACCCGTGAAGATCTGGGTTAGATTTGGTGTTCAGTAACCCATGCTTGTCATAAAAGGCGACTAACGGGATCGGGTGGTCAGGCTGGCAGACTTGGCTGACACATGTCATCATATCCCCATTGCTTAGATTGATGCTCATGCTGTTGATCACTGGATTGTGCTGCATTAGACAACCAACCAAACCAACTGTTCCAGTCACAATTATTCACAAACGCCTGGAATAGCTGGAATAGCTTGAGGGTGGCATTAGTGATTAACCAACAGACAAACAAAACAACATTTACTTGTAGTGTAAGGAAATTCACAAGAGCTATAAAAATAGCAAGATACTATATGTATGACAACTTCTTTTATGTTATAATATAATTATGATGTGATGTTTCAGTATAGATTCTTATAGCATTGTCAGGCAAGAACTTAAGAACTCAAATGATATTTCAAAACCTACACCCTGACAAACCGATCCCCACACAGAGTCTATCTACTTCAGATCGTGCTTCCCGAAGATGATCATTACTCGAGTGTTGAACTGTGGTCTGAAGGATTTCTGTAACCTGGGAACCGATATGTCAGAGAGGGACATGTCATCACGACAAAAACTGCCCAAAATGGCATCAGTTGTAGGAATTCTCGGACATCTTGCCTCCAAGCATGGACAAGATATCAGACGTGCACTCATGAAACTATTTGAGGTGAGGGTGAGCACTGACATCTGTCACTGGTATCACAGAACCTTCTGTGATCTTATATTGCTCAGTGATAAGGGAGTTGGGTTTTACACTGCTTTCAGCAATATTCCAGCAACATCACGACGGAGGACACCAGAAATTGGCTTCACACATTGAACCCATGTGGGGAATCAAACCTGGACCTTAGGGGTGACAAGCAAACACTTTAACTACTAGGCTACCCAGCCTCTGCTGCTCAGTGATGACATTGTGTAATGTACTGAACAAATACTGAAGTGCTGTAACGTTAGTGATAGTTGCCAAAGACAGCTGTAAACATTGTAGTAATAGAAAACTTGTCTTTAGGATATTTGTGTTGCTGTTTTACCAAATTGTATTTGGTTCATTTGGATGCAAAAGATGAAGCCATTCTCTGCTCATTTCACTTTTAGCCTAAAGAGCCGAACAGGAAATGTACAGAGTTTAAATAAATCTTATTTCCCCAAACAGCTCATACATTTTGATGATGAAACACTTCCAACATACAATGGTGTAAAACAAGATACTGTATAAGAAAGATCAACTACAAAAAGTAGCTGATAACTTCTGAAGCAATAATGTTTGTCTTCACTTATTTCAGGAGAGTTTATGTGGAGAGAGTGATGTGATGAAGGTGAAGACAGTGCCGTTCCTGCTGCAGCTGGCGTCCATGTCGCAGATGTTGCTGCAGGTGCTCACTACAGACATGATCAAGGCCTGTGAGTCTCCATGTACATTCCTGTTTAGGCTGGGATACGAGTGACCCTGTGGGTTCAGACCCCTCAACTAACTGTGTAGAGTTGCATCCCTTAGTGATACCAGGCTCCTATGATCATTGGTTCGAATGATTCTTTGTTTATTAGTGCCATGCCGGTATTTGTGACTTATACAAATGTTGTAACTACTGTTGTACTACTGTGTCACCTGTAGTGCCCATGAAGATCCCGGTTAGAATGGGTCTTCAGTAACCCGTGCTTGTAGTAAGAGGCGACTAAGAGGTGTAACCATCTGATGTTATTCAGAATCATATGTGCAACCTTGTACTAACATTTGGAATGCTCCTTGTTAACCTATTCATGGTTGCATGACTTGTGATCTTGTAAGCAGCCTTCTGATTGGTACCCATGAAGATCTGGGTTAGAATTGATCTTCTTCAGTAACCCATACTTGTCATGAGAGGCGACTAACAGGATTGGGTGATCTGGCTTGCTGACTTGGTTGACACAAGTCATCATATCCCAATTGCATAGAGTGATGCTCATGCTGTTGATCACTGCATTGTCTGGGACAGACTTGATTATTTACAGACTGCTGCCATATAGCTAGAATATTGCTGAGTGCCGTGTTAAACAACAAACCAACAACAATCTCATCAAGCAGACGTGCTGACAGTATGACTAAAGCCTACACAACATACTCACTTATGTAGGTCTGTAATTCTGTGTGAAACGAAAACTCTGAATGCTAACAATTAAATGTTAGTGGACAGATTTTCAAGAAGAAAGCTTAGACCGGTACCTGTGTTCTAAACTACCTTGTACAGTTGCCTCCCTTGTCTGTAAGGATCCTGTTAATCTCAGATGTTGTCTGATTATGATCCTTAGTGTGTCAGTGGTCAAAACAATCATCTTAAGCTGTCTTTAAGGTCACATGCAACCAAAAAATCAAACATAATTAAAAAACAATTATCACTTCTTCATGACATATAATATGCATTGCTGATTATGAAAAAACAAATAAACAAAATTATAAGCGTATAATCGCAAGTTAAAAGTGCAATATTTTGTACTTGGGTTTACCTCCCTGGAAACGAAGCAGACGGGATACCGAACCCAGTCAGAGCGGGTGGGTGTGCACTCAAGTGTAACGGCTGGTTCATTAGCAGATGCCGCCTTCACGGCTCATGGTGTGTGTATATATAGAGATGTTGGGTTTTGTAAATACATGCTCATTTTTTGTGTATAACATTTTGCAATCAACAGACATCATAACATGTCATGTGTTCAACTATCACACCTGCCTGTCTGTGTAATTACATAATGTGACAGAGACCGAACTCGGGCCATAAATCAATGCGTTTTGTTTATGGTGTATAGCCTGATTGGTGTTAAGTTCAAATTGCATGTCGTCAGTGATCGCAGTTGTGTATTGAATATTGTCATTAGCAGACAGGCAGGCAGACACACAGGTGTTAAAGGTCACATAAACCCTAGGGGGTACAAATACATAAATCACTAACTGGCATCGTTATAAATGAAACCCCGTTATTAAAACTACTCATTTCGACCTTTAATTGACTTAAATCGACCTTTTTGACAACAGTGCACAATTCTTACCCGCGAAAGAAATTTCAACCAATCAGAGCGGCGCGTCTCTGTGACGTCATATGAGGAATAGCTTTGGGGGCCGATGCAGAATTCATCTACATTTTAGGGGTAAATTATCTTGTTTACAGGCTTGTATAAACCTGAAATCGCGGACAATTGTTGTGGAAAATGAAAGCTATATGTTCTCACAATCTACTGTCATTTACTTTTGTCTCCTGCTTTGCCTAGTTCCCCGAAGTTACAACTTGTTTTCATAGACGATTCTGTCAAAATCGATCGGTGTCGCTAGGCCCTATTTGTATAATGACTGATCCAAATTGATCCCATTTCTGTGTTTTTTACCTCGATATTTAATCATGTCATGTAAAAATCTGTTTGTATTCTCAAAACAGTGTCGGCCCATAAGTTTTCACATGCAATACAGCAATTAATACTCCCTTGTTGTAACCCGTGTTAGGTGGTATAAACCTACATATGTTATTTGTCATCATTCACTTGATGGTCAGTTAATGAATTTATAACAGGTATAATTAGTGGTAACACACTTAGATTACCCGACAAAGGTTCCCATTTGGCATTTCTTGTGTCTGGAGTAAATATTCAACATTATTAACATCAATCAAAGGATTAACCGATAACACGCTGATTGATTAATTACTTTTATCTTATACAGCGGAATTGTCAAAAGGTAGTGTTTATGTATGTAGATTTACTAATCTATACTGAATACACTCTGTTGTGTCGGTGTCTGCGTAAAAACAACGTCCTTATTTCAAAGGATTAATCGGCAATACATTGATTGATTGCCCATTATTGGCTAACTAATTTACTGTTTTTAAAGAAAGGCGGACATTATGCAATTAGTTTCCAGGTGTGCTATCTTGGGTGTCCAATGAGACTATACACCAATACCTGAAAAGATTTATCACTTTTTCATATATTAAACTGTTAAAAGACACATCATTTGGAACAGTTTTGTGGATATTGATGGATACATTCCTCGAACAAGGTAATGGCCTGATATTGTTCCTATAACTTTGATCTGTTTTAATTTTAATATTTGCATGTTGTTTTTATTCATTTGTCGTAGCATTCAACAGAATCATTGTTTTTTCGTGAGTGAAGTGTAATGAGACAGACAACTCTAGGGTGTGTGTGTGCGAATTATGATTCACATTGGCAAACTATAAAATGTCTAGATATTACAGTTCTGTTATAAATTCTCTATAAGTATCAGCAGATCGTCTGCTTTTTATTTAGTTTCAAAATGCATACAATTATGATAATAAACTAATTAGGATAAAAAGACCAAATATAAAGACGCACATTGACTAGTATCTACATACTGGTGAGTGGACATTAACCATGTGAATGTAGCAAGAAATGTATCGCTAGTATTGTGACTTCGACCCCCACCTCGCCTCGTGGAAGAAATCGTTATGTTATAAGTTGTGTCATGCAAAATCCGCTTTGGTTATGATTCCAATACATATTTAACTTTTAGTAGAAAGTAGTTTTGATTTTCAAACTTGATGAAAACAAACTATAATCTCATTAATTCTAACAGACTTTACGATTTTCAAAATGGCGGCGCTCTGTCTGGAACATCCGCCAGTCTGAGGATAAATGCTATTTAGGTTTGTTTTCACCGAAGTTACAAAAATCAAAACTACTTTCTACTGGTAGTACAATATGTATTTGATTGAGGGCCAATAGGATTTTGCATGACATAGCTGCATAACATAACAATTCTCTCGTGGCAGCGGCAGGTGGGTGTCAATATAATACCACTTACAATATTATTGTTACTGACCATCAAGCTCACTTCCGAGGAAGAAATCGCTATGTTACAAGTTGTGTCATGGAAAATCTTTATGGTCATCAATCATATAATGATTTTTACTACAACTAGTAAGTAGTTTTGATTCTTTAACTTCGGAAGCGATCTGAACACAAGTAAGATATCGCTTCAGGCTTCCACAACGCCGCGCCGTGACTCACAAACATAACCAATTTAGCAACGAATCCGCGGATCCTGTGGAAATCTGTGCATGGTGACACCATCGCCTTCGACTCCCTAGAGCACTTGACGCATTACAAAGCAACGATTCGCATGTCGCCGTTGATGTCGAAATCATCAAAATGATGAGCGTGCATACACACTTTCTATACAACTAACTGAAAATCGCTCCTCATATGACGCCACTGCAGTGCTCTGGCGACAGAGTTACGTGAACCTGTCTGTGGTTTCACATGGGCTGAGAGGGAAGCAGGCCAATTTTTTGGGCCACTTTAATCGCTCGGTATTAATTAACCACAAGTTTTTAAAGAATAAATTTGGTGTTCCGCATAAGACTAACTACAAATCTTTCATATGTAATGGTTAAAAGAGTAACAAAAAACAAAGTTTAGTGGTTCTTTAATAAAACAAGACATTGAGTTTTGTCTGTGACAACGACATATCTATATCACAGTTAGAAATTGTGTCAACGCTAAATAATGACATTGCTTTTAAGTATCGAACTGAGAAAGTGACTCGGTAAGAAAAACGTGTGGTGAAATAGACAAATGAAATTATATAAACAGTTTATTTACTGTCATAACATATAAAAGCTCAGCGCCTGTGAGATATCAACAAAACATTAGAAAAATAGCTCACACCAAAGCCTTCACCGAGTATTCACCCGACAACCCGCTTCCAAGCTGCTCGAACCTATTTACTTGCGCACGTGCTATGAGCGCAGCTCCAGCTGTTGAAACCATTATTCCCCAGAAAGTCTGGGGAAAATTAGTGAAACGCTTTGAACCTCGATTTCAAGGCTTTTTTCATCGCAGTATTTTTCAACTTTATAAGTTGAATTTGCATTTTTGACGATTTGTTTCGCTATGTCGATACCGAAAGGTATCAGAATCTGCAAAGTTGTGTTTTACGTTGCATGTGACCTTTAAGGCTCTGATGAGTATAGTGTAACCTTCTAAACTAGATTGTCGAGTTTCTACTGTGTGTGTCTGTCCAGCCTGCTGTGATCCATGTGTATTGTTCTCTCACCAACTGTGTGTGTCTGTCCAGCCTGCTGTGACCCATGTGTATTGTTCTCTCACCAACTGTGTGTGTCTGTCCAGCCTGCTGTGACCCATGTGTATTGTTCTCTCACCAACTGTGTGTGTCTGTCCAGCCTGCTGTGACCCATGTGTATTGTTCTCTCACCAACTGTGTGTGTCTGTCCAGCCTGCTGTGACCCATGTGTATTGTTCTCTCACCAACTGTGTGTCTGTCCAGCCTGCTGTGACCCATGTGTATTGTTCTCTCACCAACTGTGTGTGTCTGTCCAGCCTGCTGTGACCCATGTGTATTGTTCTCTCACCAACTGTGTGTGTCTGTCCAGCCTGCTGTGACCCATGTGTATTGTTCTCTCACCAACTGTGTGTGTCTGTCCAGCCTGCTGTGACCCATGTGTATTGTTCTCTCACCAGCTGTGTGTGTCTGTCCAGCCTGCTGTGACCCATGTGTATTGTTCTCTCACCAACTGTGTGTGTCTGTCCAGCCTGCTGTGACCCATGTGTATTGTTCTCTCACCAACTGTGTGTGTCTGTCCAGCCTGCTGTGACCCATGTGTATTGTTCTCTCACCAACTGTGTGTGTCTGTCCAGCCTGCTGTGACCCATGTGTATTGTTCTCTCACCAACTGTGTGTGTCTGTCCAGCCTGCTGTGACCCATGTGTATTGTTCTCTCACCAGTGACACCTGACGTTCTCAACAAACTTCACGGCCAGTTCTCCAAGTGGAAGATGGCAAACTTGAAAGAATACGAGAGGTATGTACTGAGTATGTGCTGCTACATAATGTAGGGAGACCTAAAATAGTCAACAAGAAGATTTTGAAAGTATGTTACTTTTGCCACAAGCTAGGGCTCACGTCACTGCTATATTTCGTGTATGTGTCACAGGTTGAACTCCACTCTCTTGACTCCATTCAACATTGGATAACTTGACTTCTTTGAATGGCATTCTAGAAGTTGGGTAGACGAGGAATGATGACATAGAGTCTAATGTCGTTGTCAAGCAAGTGGTTACAACGACATTGCTTGATGTCGAAATGTTGTCTATACAAGAAGTTGTATATCCATAACAATAGTCCTCATTCCTCATTGGATCACTTGATTCCACTCCACTACAGTATTTCCAACACCACTCCATTTCACTCGATGTGGCTCTGCATCACTCCCAACCTGCTCATATGACACCTCTCCACTCCACTACTGTCCGACTGCTACTCAGCTCAGCTCTCAGCTCTCAGCACAGCTCTCCTCTCTGCTCACTCGGGCCTCCATGTGGCTCTGCTTCACTCTCATCCTGCCCTCTCCTCCCCGGGCCAGTTCCACTCTCCACTCCATGTGGCTACACATCACTCTGGTCTGCCCCTCTCTCCTCCCCACTCTCAGTTCCACTCCACTCCATGTGGCTACACATCACTCTCGCCCTGGCTCCCTCTCCTCCTCCCCAGCTCAGTTCCACTCCACTCCATGTGGCTCCACATCACTCCTGGTCCTGCTCCCTCTCCTCCCCTCTCAGTTCCACTCCACTCCCATGTGGCTCCCACATCACTCCCATCCTGCCCTCTCCTCCCCGCTCAGTTCCACTCCACTCCATGTGGCTCCACATCACTCTCATCCTGCCCTCTCCTCCCCGCTCAGTTCCACTCCACTCCATGTGGCTCCACATCACTCCCATCCTGCCCTCTCCTCCCAAGCCAGTTCCTCCACTCCATGTGGCTACACATCACTCTCTGGCCCTGCTCTCTCCTCCCCTGTGGCTCCAGTTCCACTCCACTCCATGTGGCTCCACATCACTCATCCTGCCTCTCCTCTCCTCCCGGCCAGTTCCACTCCACTCCATGTGGCTCCACATCACTCTCGCCCTGCCCTCTCCTCCCCCGGCCAGTTCCACTCCCTCCATGTGGCTCCACATCACTCTCATCCTGCCCTCTCTCCTCCCGCCAGTTCCACTCCACCCATGTGGCTCACATATCACTCTGGTCCTGCCCTCTCCTCCATGCTCAGTTCCACTCCTCAGCTCCACTCCATGTGGCTCCACATCACTCCCATCCTGCTCCTCTCCCTCCCCTCCAGTTCCACTCGGGCCTCCATGTGGCTCCACATCACTCCCATCCTGCCCTCTCCTCCCCGCTCAGTTCCACTCCACTCCATGTGGCTCCACATCACTCTGGTCCTGCCCTCTCCTCCCCGCTCAGTTCCACTCCGCTCCATGTGGCTCCACATCACTCCCATCCTGCCCTCTCCTCCCCGCTCAGTTCCACTCCACTCCATGTGGCTCCACATCACTCTCGTCCTGCCCACTTAATGCCACTACTCTCCCCTCTATTCCACTCCACTTATATTTGACACTGGCGTTAATATGAATACATTTCGATTATGAAACATCTCCATTGGCATTAAACAACATGCGTCCACTCACTCACTCAGTGTGTTGCAGCCTGCTCAGTCTAGTGGTCCACTTGGCAGTGAAGAGCGATGTTGGCGGTTACGATGTTGTGGAGTTCCTCATCACAGCTGCTGCACCCAAACCCCAGCAGGGTGAGTATAATCAGTATATACACACATTGTCACAGCAACAGTTATACAATCTCTCTCCAACCAGTATATACACACATTTCATGACCACATCTCCAACCAGTAATCATATGGGATCATTTATGACCACACAGAAGTTAAACATTTTATTGTTTTGTGGAGACTGAAATTTAAAATCTTGTAGTCAAAAGATGTTAAATACCACCTGATTCTAGCTTGTTGTTACAGCTAGTCTGTCATGACTGACGGGGTATAAGTGATATACCACCTGATTCTAGCTTGTTGTTACAGCTGGTCTGTCATGACTGACGGTGTATAAGTGATATACCACCTGATTCTAGCTTGTTGTTACAGCTAGTCTGTCATGACTGACGGGGTATAAGTGATATACCACCTGATTCTAGCTTGTTGTTACAGCTGGTCTGTCATGACTGACGGTATATAAGTGATATACCACCTGATTCTAGCTTGCTTGCTTGTCATGACAGCTAGTGTCTGTCATGACTGTCACTGTGTATAAGTGATATACCACCTGATTCTAGCTTGTTGTTACAGCTAGTCTGTCATGACTGACGGTATATAAGTGATATACCACCTGATTCTAGCTTGTTGTTACAGCTGGTCTGTCATGACTGGACTAGTCTGTCAGGTATAAGTGATATACCACCTGATTCTAGCTTGTTGTTACAGCTGGTCTGTCATGACTGACGGTGTATAAGTGATATACCACCTGATTCTAGCTTGTTGTTACAGCTGGTCTGTCATGACTGACGGTGTATAAGTGATATACCACCTGATTCTAGCTTGTTGTTACAGCTAGTCTGTCATGACTGACGGTGTATAAGTGATATACCACCTGATTCTAGCTTGTTGTTACAGCTAGTCTGTCATGACTGACAGTGTATAAGTGATATACCACCTGATTCTAGCTTGTTTGTTGTTACAGCTAGTCTGTCATGACTGACGGTGTATAAGTGATATACCACCTGATTCTAGCTTGTTGTTACAGCTAGTCTGTCATGACTGACGGTGTATAAGTGATATACCACCTGATTCTAGCTTGTTGTTACAGCTGGTCTGTCATGACTGACGGTGTATAAGTGATATACCACCTGATTCTAGCTTGTTGTTACAGCTAGTCTGTCATGACTGACGGTGTATAAGTGATATACCACCTGATTCTAGCTTGTTGTTACAGCTGGTGTGTCATGACTGACGGTGGTGATATACCAAGTGATATACCACCTGATTCTGACTGGCGTTGTTAGTGATTACAGCTAGTGTGTCATGACTGACAGTGTATTAGTGATATACCACCTGGATTGTAGCTTGTTGTTACAGCTTGTTGTTACAGCTAGTCATCTGTAGTGATATACCACCTGATTGAGCTGTTGTTACAGCTAGTGTATATTTTGTGTATAAGTGATATACCACCTGATTCTAGCTTGTTGTTACAGCTAGTCTGTCATGACTGACAGTGTATAAGTGATATACCACCTGATTCTAGCTTGTTGTTACAGCTGGTCTGTCATGACTGACGGTGTATAAGTGATATACCACCTGATTCTAGCTTGTTGTTACAGCTGGTCTGTCATGACTGACGGTGTATAAGTGATATACCACCTGATTCTAGCTTGTTGTTACAGCTAGTCTGCCATGACTGACAGTGTATAAGTGATATGTTTACCTTCATCAGACCACACAATGTAAGATTATACTCAACTTATTGTTTCCACGGGCAACCAGTGTAGTGATTAATGAAAATATTGTTCTATCAGATGGAATGGAGGTCACTTGTCCTGTGAAGGAAGTCCAGGATGCATGCCACGAACTGATGGTGAGTTGTGTCATGAACTGATGGTGAGTTGTGTCATGAACTGATGATGAGTTGTGTCATGAACTGATGGTGAGTTGTGTCATGGACTGGTGATAAGTTGTGTCATGAACTGGTGATGATTTGTGTCATGAACTGAGAATTGTGTCATCAGTTGTGAACTGATGGTGAGTTGTCATGAACTGTCATGAACTGAGTGTGAGTTGTGTCATGAACTGAATGATGAGTTGTGTCATAAACTGATGGTGAGTTGTGTCATGATGAACTGGTGAGTTGTGTCATGAACTGGTGATGAGTTGTGACTGACTGGTGAGTTGTCATGAACTGATGTGGTGAGTTGTGTCATGAACTGGTGATGAGTTGTGTCATAAACTGATGGTGAGTTGTGTGAGTTGTGTCTGTCATGAACTGGTGAGAGTTGTCATGAACTGGTGGTGAGTTGTGTCATGACTGGTGGTGATGAGTTGTGTCATGAACTGATGGTGAGTTGTGTCATGAACTGATGGTGAGTTGTGTCATGAACTGTGAGTGGTGAGTGTCATGTTGTGCCAGCCTGAACTGATTGATGAGCTGAGCTGGTGGTGAGTTGTCATGAACTGATGGTGAGTTGTCATGAACTGGATGGTGAGTTGTGTCATGAACTGGTGGTGAGTTGTGTCATGAACTGGTGGTGAGTTATCACGAGCTGATGGTGAGTTGTGTCATGAACTGGTTGGTGAGTTGTGTCATGAACTGATGGTGAGTTATCATGAGCTGATGGTGATTTGGGTGAGTGGATGTGTATGACACTTTGATCACTGGTTTGAATCCTGGATAAGCTTGATGTCCAGGATTGCTTGTGAGTTGAGAGTGAGCTTGTGTCCAGGACCTACATCAAAGAAGCATAAATACAGAATCATGTATTCGTAAGTCAATCATGTTTGTAGATATAACAGCTTCTGAGTGTAAATCTGAAAGACCATAGATTACATCCAGATTCTAAACTCAGCCATCTTGACCCTGCATGCATGGGACAATGCTCATAACATAAATCACTGGTTTGTCTGGCCCAGAATTATGGGCTTTTGTGATACAGCTGGACTGATGTTAAACAACACAAAACATACATGAATTCTAATATAAACATTCATTATGTTGTCATGCTATGTTATAGGATAAGCTGATCTATGAAATCCAACACACAATTCACTCCCGGAAGAAGAACATGCCCAACCAGGATCTGCCTCTCCTCGCCGGGCTGGCCGCTGAAGTCCACCGACTTCTCAAACTCCTCATAGAGAGCGAGGGACAGAGGTGAGCACTGACTCTGTCATGTTTATCGTCAGTTGCAGAAAATATTTAAACTTCAATTGTGACAGTAACTTTTGTTCAGAGGCTGTCATTATTGTGTCATAATTTCCGTGCCATGGTATGATTTCTCATATCTCCTCTGAGACCACAAATCCTGGAAAGGGATCCCAGCAAATCTCACTTCAAACATAGCGGCAGACAGATTTATTCATTCCTCTCAGCCATTTTAGTATGGGTGAAATGATGGTCTATTGGTTTAAGCTTGGGGAGTGGACAGGAAATTTGATTGCCATGGCAGCCATGTTGTCAGGATGACATTTGGCCCACTTCTGCATGTATGTGGTTAAAGTCAGGTGAGAGACATTAATATGTGGCTGTTTTTCTAGTTATGCTTCTAGCAAGCAACAACATCAGCAGTTTGAGGGATGTTGGTTATGGTAATATGTAGTGACAGAGTGTTGGTTAGTTCCATGTGTCGGCTGAGGATATCACAACGTGTCTGAATCATCACTTACTCACATTCTCCGGTTCCAGCCACCTGTGGGTGCAGCAGATTTTGACATTCGTCGCTCTGTACTCCGGCCAGTCCTGTGCTGCCACCATCTTGTCAGGAGTCATCGCGCAGTCAGTCCGACCGATGCAGGTGCAGTACCTCCAGACTTCCGCACTGAGAAACATCAGCAGTAACACTACACCTTTATTATGCAATTGTTTTCTGCTTGTACAGGTTTTCAATTGGAGAATGATTCAGTTGATGGGAAAGCAACGTTTTCAAAATGTATGTTTGATTACACCTTTAGGATACTGGTGCTTGTTGAAACATGTAATAAGATAAAGGCTTCAGTTTGATATTCCACAATGCTATACCTAGTGCCATGTGACACTGTATTCTTTATAGTCGACAGTGTTTCTGAGACTCCAGAAGGGAATAGAGATCGGCATCCCTAACCTCATTACAACCACCATGCGATACGTGTTTGACCTGCTACAACCTCACACATCAACCAATCAGCACCGACTTCTGAAAAATCTGCTGTTCCTCATCCAATGGGAGAAAAAGACGACATCATTCAAGACAAAGACAACCAGGTAATGGCATGGAGAACCCGTTTATACTGTTGATCCAAACAGTAGCACCCCGAGGACAAATGTCTTATGGTGCTGACTGACACCTAAACTGTCAGTTGGTCAGAGATTGATATTTAGAAGTTATTCAGTAAGCATACATCTCTCAGGGACTGGGAAAGGAAGAGGCCATGGGCCACTTTAGCACATTAGAATAAAAAATGGCCCATTAAAATTTTGAATTATACTATTGATGCAAGGGCAGTGGCCCATTCTAAATTCAGAAAATGCCCCATTGTCAATGTTCTCTATCCCAATCCCTGCATCACTTGATAAATCTTGATGCAGTGTTTGTTAATTTTTAAACTCATCTTAGCTCACGGTATACACTTCTCTCGCTACTTCAACCAAGGCATGGAAACATGCTGTAGGCTAAGTTGAATGAAACCTTATGGCCTCTCTCCCACTCCTATAGCTGGACCTGTCAATCATCTCTGTAAAGCGTGCTAGGCGCTCAGATGGTCACATGACGTCCCACTACTGTCGTTCTCATTCTTGTCACCCACAGAGATGGATGCATGTTATTTGCTCTGTCTACCACTTGTCTCTTTTGTTCATCATGGGGAAAAGTAATCGTTCGTCGAGGAAGAGAAAACACTGTGACAAATGCAGAAGTAATTTTTCGGCCGCTGACCCGCATACTCTTTGTGTTTACTGCATTGGATGGTGTGAGAGGTCACGATGCTGCTCATATTGTGCCAATCTCGATGATGAAGCGTTTTCTGCTTATCGTCGGGTTGGTTCAAGACGAGTGGCAGATAGGGACCGTCGGAGGCCTTCCTTCCCTGTGAAGGCCTCAACGTGTATGTGGTTCCGCCAGTGGCGCTACTTCCACAAATACTACTCAAGTTACGAACAATGCAGTGGATGACACTGCTTTCGGTCGTGCCTTATTGGCCGGCCAGAAGTTGGTTTGTAGACCTGCAAGACATGGTCGATCCACACCCAATACCACTTCCCGAACACAACGACCTTCTGATCCACCCTCACTCAGATCAGCTTCCAACACTCCATCTACATGCTTGGTACATTGGCATAAATCACTGATTGCGAACGGTTATTCTAAGCGTGTCGCTCACTCACTCACTATCTCCGGGATTTGTCCGTCACTGATGTGGAGGGTCTTAACGAGTTGGGTCCGTTGGTTCTAGCGCAGCAGTTGTTATCAGCTCGCAACCACAGATAAAGAAGCAGTCCTACCTTTCGCTACCTGCATATCAATAAAAGATATGGATCCTATCTTTCTTGTTGGTATTGATTTATTTGGGCATAGATCACCGCACCTAGCTGGAACTAGGGCATGTTAGTACTGTCATACCCATGACTCGATAGACTGTGAGGTCAGTCTTGTACTACATGCAGAGGTGGTCGACACTCCACTTGTTGACTTCTATTCTCTTATATGATATATACTTATCCTATCTCACGCGATATATTCCCACCCGACCTTCCCCACATCACAGATTACTTGGGGCTCCAAGACGAGAAGACCCGTGAAGGTCCGGGTTAGAATATTGGCCTTCAATAACCCATGCTTGTCGTAAGAGGCGACTAACGGGATCGGGTGGTCACAATTGCGCAGAACGATGCTCATGCTGTTGATCGCTGGATTGTCTGGTCCAGACTCAATTATTTACAGACCGCCACCATATACAAGTTGGAATATTGCTGAGTGCGGCGTAAAACTAAGCTCACTCACTCACTCCAAGACAAGAATGGCGGTAGTGCAACGTCACGTGACCATCTCAGCTCCTATCACGCTTTACAGAGATGATTGACAGGTCCAGCTATAGGAGTGGGTGAGCAGTCAGGTGGGAGAGAGGCCAGAAGATTTGATTCAACTTAGCCTACAGAACGTTTCCACGCCTAGGTCGAAGTAGCGAGAGAAGTGCATACCGTGAGATAGTTTAAGTATATAAGTATACAAATTTTTCCTTATCCTGACTCATGCTCTTTTGCTTGTCCCCTTCCTCTTGCGAACATAGTGGAACACTTGTATCTCCTTAATTGAAGCTCCCTTCAATATAAAATCACTAATTGGTACTCACCCAAGAGTTGCCTCCCCTGCCGTAAGCGCGGGAACAGGTGTCGCCACCCTCTGGCCTCATGCTTCACTCTCTCCTTCTTCGCCCAGTGAGCAGGATGTGAGAGCGCCTGTGTCTCCTTACACACTATATCCTTTGGTTTTTCTTAGTTAGTTACCGATTATAGTTTACTATAAAGGTATAGCTAGTATCCTTCATTAATTTGCATTGATAATTAATCATTATTTCTACTGTTTATTCGCGTGAGTTCGTGATTGTTCAGCTAGTATTACGTTGATGAAAAACTGTACTATTTGTAGATTACGTTTTTCCGCTGTGGATCCGCATGTAGTATGCCCTAGTTGTACTACGCCTTCAGCGTTTGATTCACGTTGCAGTTACTGCATTAATTTAACCAATTCTGCCTTTAATAAATACCATCTTTAAGGCGTCTTGAGGCGTGTTGCAGATAGGTCACATAAACTAGGTGTAGACATGGCCGATACATCGGATTTCCCATCCAGTCAGCTGCTGTCGAGCGATCCTCCCCGTCTGGTGTTCTGCTTGAGACCCCCATCGGAAGAGGGGCGTGGGATGCAGTCCGTCACCTCTAAGAAGCCACCGGCCTCCCCAGACATTCCGTCATCGCAGATAAAGTCCAAGAGGGCCTCAACGTCTCTCAACGCAGACTTCTTGCACTACCCCCAGGGCAGCGTCATCCTCCAAAGGGAAATTCACGAAGTCATCGAGAACTTTCTCAGCCGAGATCGTTCCAGCAGCAGAAGTGGGCCTCTACGATGACCAGCCTATCATCATACCCATATGCATACAAGAAGCGGCCAGTGTCAGCGACAGTGACTTCAGCAGAGATCACCATGCAGCCTGATGCCTCTACACTGATGTCAGGCGAGAGATGCTGAGGGCCCCACCGCTATCACCGCAGAGAGGACACCATCTACTACGTCGCAGATCATCCCAGGCGATCTAATGAAGCAGATCATGATCATGATGGAAGGCCACTACAGACTGGAGAAGCAGCCATCCCAGGGTCCGAGCCTTCGCGAAGGCTCCAAACGTAGACAGCACCCCAGAGGCACCCCCTGTCAACGAGCAGCCACGACGATGCAGCCTTCGCTGAAGGAAGTCACAGACCACCTCGACGAAGGACCCAGATGTACAGCCTTCGCGAAGGCCTTCGCCAAAGCGGAAAGATCATCACCTTCTTCGGGCGCCATACTCAGACACGGAATCTGATCATCAGACCTCACGGAAGCCTTAGCGAAGGTCATATCACCGTTCCCCAGGACCGACGCGAGATGCCGAAGCGGTGGCGTTCGCTAAGGACACCTGAACCCAGATCGTCATCATCTAAAAGGACATCGAGGGACTACACAAGAGCTTCGCGAAGCTACCATCGGTCCCCTCATAACTTGTTTGAGTGGCATTTTAGAAGTTGAGACGTACAGTATATAACAAGTTTTATGGATAACAACTTCTTTATTTTTCGTGAGTGCGACTTCCTCCGACACCAGATCACCAGTATTCTCCACAAAGCCCAGCCTCAGAAACCAAACATCACACCAGCTGAGAAACAAGCCATCAGACAACTTAAACAACATCCTGATATTGTCATCGCCCCAGCCGACAAGGGCAGAGCCACTGTTGTCTTAGACAAGGACCACTTCCACTCCATGGTGGATAACCTCCTAGATGACACCTCAACCTACCAAATGATGAAGAGGGATCCGACTACAAAGCTCAACCGTCAGCATAAGGCCACGCTAAAAACGCTGCATGATAAATATGAACTCTCAACAGACCTGTATCGTAAACTCACAGTATCTCACCCCAGCCACACCTATGCCAGAGCAACAGTCAAAATCCACAAGAACCCCGTTAAAACTCGCTCTACTAGTCTGTTCCCGTGACACTGTATTCTACAGTACTGCCCAGCACCTTACCCAAGTACTCTCCCCATTAGGTAAATCTGCCAACTCCTTCATCAATGATTCAACTGACTTCTGCTCCAAGATCCGTGACATCACCAACCCAGGTCCAATCATCAGCTTCTGACGTTGTGGACCTATTCACCAATGTACCTCGGGATGAAGCCCTTCAAGCACTCACGTCCACAGAATTGACAACCTCCAACAACCCTCAACACCAGCCTCTCTACCGACTCTATCATCAGCCTCACCTCCCATGCCATCAACTCCACCTACTTCACCTGGAAGCGATGCCATCTATGAGCACAAATCCACGGACTTCCCATGGGCTCCCCACTATCCCCCATCCTAACAGAAATTTACATGGCCGACCTGGAAGAGAAGGCCCTAGAAACTGCACCCTTCAAACCATCCTGCTGGTACCGCAAAGTGGATGACACACCGTCGTCCTCCAACCTCAGCAAGATCCAAAGCAGCTCCTCGCCCATCTCAACAGCCAACATCCCCGCATCAAATTCACCATTGAAACAGAGCAGAACAACCAACTACCTTTCCTTGATGTCCTTGTGTCCCGCACAGCCTGCAACCAACTCAGACCTCCGTGTACAGAAACCAACTCATCTGGATCAATACATCCACTACAACTCCAACCACCCACCTAAAGTCAAGACCAAGGTCATCTCCACATTGACCAGAAGAGCCAAAAACATCTGCTCAACAAACCTACAGGAAGAAATTGAACACCTGAGGAAAGTCTTTGTGGAACGCATGGCCACTACCCACCTGAAATAGTCAACAGAACCATCGAAGCAGCGCTTTCACCTCCTGCCAAAGATCTAAACCAGAATCAGCCCCCCATCAAGATATCCATTCCCTACATTGGTAAAACCATCACACCAAATCAGCCGACTCCTGAAACAACAGGCGGGGAATAGACACTACCTTTCTCAGCGTCCTCCAGCCTCAACAACCTCCTCCATGCCAGCGGAAGAAA